TTTCTCAGATTTCCCAGCCTCTAAAGAGCTCGTGATGTTATTGATCTAAAAAATGGGTCTAATAAATTTTCATTCCCATACTCAGAATCTCATGCATGCATGTCTCATTCTCAAACTTTCAAACCTCATTCTGTGCATGCACTAACATTAATAACACTATCTATATTTCATACCTTTTGTATCAGTATTTGGACGTGGGTCGCATTTGGCCTCCTTTGTGTCCTGAGGAGTGACCATATCTTCACGACCAGTGGCTGAGGGTGAAGTGATGACACAGCTAATAACTGATCCGCTAACCTGAGAAGAGAGAGAGGGGAGGAGAAGATTGAGAGGAATAGTCTATTAAATTCACCTACTTTGAGTTGGTTGGATTTGATGATTTCGATGACAATAATCTCCCAAAAGTGTCCATGTAGTTGATAACATAAGGATCCTGGACACGGGCCTATCATGAGATTAATTATTAATAAATGAATGATGAGGATTATTTCTGGTTGACTTTTTTAAATAACTCAATGGCTTGGGATTTCTTTAATAATTTCGACATGATCCAACCGATCTGACTGTTATTTTCTGGACTAAGAGTGAAACCCTACAAGAAATGAGGAGATTAAATAAATAATAATAATAATGTATTAAAATATGGAAGTATATACTTCTGACAGAAAACCACATGAAATAGACTTTCAGAATAACAGGTAATTTTAGAAGGGGAACATTCTGGGCCATTTGCCAAAAATATAACCTATCAACGCTGTGCACATGCTCAAAACCACAGCCTAACAAATTAAAACTTTCTATTATTAATCAAAAAAATTTGGCAAAAAAATTATACAAAAATCTCTGAATTAACAAGTACAAGATACATGTACATGTACAATCATCTAATTGTGAATATGAATAGCTATTATAAGAGACTTGATACCGTTTAGTCTACACTGATAATACTCCACATTGGGTTACACCACTATACACATGTATGTACATGTATGCAAACACCACACATTAACTTTCAATTCAAAATGATAAATATGAGGAATATAAGAAAGACTCCAAAATATCATCATTCCAGGAATAATAATGCTAGTTTATTACAACGCCTCCGAAGTTATTAAGTGGTTGGGTGGGAGAGAGAGCAGCTGCCATTAGGATGTGAGATGTAACAGGTAAACAATGGCACTCTCCTTTTATCAAACAATACACAAACCAAACACAAAAGACATTTGGAAACACTGCCGTGAGAGCCTCCATACGTTAGAATCTTTCTAAAAAGTGCTCACCGATTTATTGAGTGTCTCGAAATCTCTCAGAGCATCTGTGAAAGTACAAAGACAAGATAATTAAATATTAAGGATAATTAAATATTAAGTATAATTACTGTATATATTATGTGACTCTTCAATGAGGTGCGAGAATTATAATCATTAATTATTTAATTAATTGTGTGTGCTAGCTTTCCATTTCCAATGAATTCAAGTTGTAAGATTGAAAATGAAGCAAAAAATCCCCTCACATATCAATGAATGTCATTAAGAGAAGAGGGTAATGAATATCTTTAAGATTGAGCCCTCAATGAATATCATTAAAGTCACCCCACCCACCCCCCACTGGAGTGTGGTTCAGTAGAATAGAAAGGGAAGGATTGGAGTGGTTGAGCAATGCACTTTACTTGAAAATGATCAAATACTTCACAGTAACCAGAATATAATATTAATAATAATGAATAAATGTTAATAATTAATAATAATTGGTGGGGAGTAACTAGTAGCTTGTTAAAAATAGAAAAAAATAAATAAGACCATTAGCTCCTAGTTAATATATGCTCCTTAATAACTATGGTTATTAATAACTAGTACTTAATAACTAGCCCCTCCCCCAAACCATTACCTGCATATTGATACAATGATATATTCTCTTGAGCTTTAAGCCAAACACTTAGCCTATAAATAAAATAATATCTACATGCAAGAGTATTAATATTACTATTAGTATTACAGGTATATGTAATGCTAATAGTATTGTGTATTAGGTACAGATTTCCAAGAAGAAGAATCACTTCCCTTCTAAAAGAAACTCTCTTTCTCTCTTTTTCTTTCTGTCTCAATTTCAATATCACAATCACATTGAAAGCATATTAATTATCAGGAGGACAGTCACTCACCCACCACCTCTCTCCCTCCCTCTCTCTCTCTCCCTCCCCCTCTCCCTTTCTCTCTCTCCTTCCCGCTCTCGCTCTCCCTCTCTCTTTCTCTCTCCCTCTCTCCTCCTTTACCAGTTATAAGAAGAAAGAGATGGTGTGTGTTGTCTAAATATGGCCACCAGCTGAGCTAGTGACACTCCTAGAGAAAGCAATGCTGTTACAGCTTCCAAAGCAAATGGACATTTCCTAAGAGACAGTGAGAATGTATGAAGCTACTACAATCAGAGCTTACATTAAAACCATCCGGTAATACATGACAGCATTGTTACTGGAGGAAGAGATAGTTATTATTATATTTAGTACAATTAACGAACTTGTCCTTTTTAAAATTTTGATACAACTTTGCTAAAGCTAATTCAATTTGTATAGTTCTCTGCTTCACTGGAACAGATAATAACTAATAATAAAATAAATAAATAAATAAAATAATTAATTAATACTAGATGCACTTACAGCATGTATGGCATCATCGTATTGTCTTAATTTTAAATAACATTTATAAATACGCCACTGTATTCTACCTTCACTGACGTTCTAATCAAAGAAATGAAAATAAAATTATTTCAAATACAAACCTTAACGTCTGAATCTGATTGGTTGCCTGCTTCAGCAGTAAGAGCCTGACGATAATAGTGCTAAAAGAAAAGATAGAATCCACCCACGTACTTTAATTATTGACCACACCCACCAATAATAATATCTTACCAAGGCCCTATTGTATTGGTCGTCATTGTAGAGGGAGTCTCCATAAGATACTAATAAGAATCTATTTTTAACAGAGCAGTTAAAAACCAACATGTCTGCCTAAAAAAAGGAGGAAAAAAGATGAATTACACAAAATGGATCCTGCCATTAACCAGTAGCTGGGCGCTTTTGTCAAGGCCTAACTGATTGAGAGAATGGAGCTGATCCATCAAGAGAGAAAAATCGACCGCCTCCATTTTTACTCACTTAGCACAGCACGTGGTTTCAGTATACTTCCGGGCATGTGGTTCGGCAGGTCCGCATTCTCTGGCCCAGGGTCACACCCATACATTAAGATTATCCAGTACATGTTACCAAGCAACGAATTACGTCAGGCGGGATCAGAACAGAAGAGAAGGAAGAAGCACGAGGTAGCCATTGCCTCTCTTACTCTCTCTCTCTCTCTCTCTTTCATCAGGTTTTATTATTCTCTATTGATAGCCTTCTCTCTCTTTTTCTCTTAGTAGGTTTGCTGGAAAGAGACAGACAGGTTACTGTGTCCTGTATGTACAAGCTTGTTGTACATTCTTTATGTAGGGAGGAGCCATGACTTGTTACTGTCTGGAGTACAGGATAATTAATGAGATAAGTTAATACACACACACACACACAGTGTTCCTGTATATGAGTGTGTGATGAATAATGGAGGGAATAGTTTATCTAAGTGTCAGTTGGTAAAGACAATGAGCAAAGCAAGAGTGAGAAATACATGTAATGGGGAAAAACGAGTGGTTTTGCTCTTTGCCTTTCCACTGGCATTTTGGTAACATTCTCACTTTATTCCTTCACACATTCACGTGTTATTTATTATCATTTTTATTATTATTATTATTATTATTATGGGGTTATTATTTCATTATTAGTACTATTAGTATCTTATTGTTAATACATGACAGTTCAATTCATATCTTTTGTACTTTCAGGTTGCTCCTATCAATGGATCAAAGACAGTTTTCTGTTGGTTAATACGCACAGTATCATGTACATGTACATCCTTATATCTAACATGTATTCTATTTTCCTTTCTTTAAGCTGGATTGACTCAAACAAGCTAGTCTTCTTCAACATCAAGTCCCAGTCTTCAGCGTATGGTAACAATGTATCTATTGCATGCTAATACCTTGATTACAGTGCTAATAATAAATGGTTCATTCCGCTATTCACCCCATTACATGTACTAAAGCACTGTCCCTATTGATCTTTACTTATTCTATTGTTTAAACATTTTTCTGTTTTATTTCTGCACAGGACGATGTTCTCTGGATGGGCTCAGGATCAAGCCTAAAGTTGGTTGAGTGTGAGGTAGAGTGAGAGTTAATAATGTATAATTGTGCATGTACAATATAACCCACATGTTCCACCCCTCTCTCCCACCCCCCACTTTAGTAGGCCTGACTGTTCTGGATCTGGATCTGGAGTCAGGATCAAGCCTAAAGTTGGTTGAGTGTGAGGTAGAGTGAGAGTCAATAATGTATATTCTGTACATTACCTAATCCACATGTTCCACCCTTCTCTCCCACCCCCCTCCCTTAGCTAGGCTCCGGCTCCTGTCCCTGGACCGGCCCTGGATGGTAAGGATTGATTGCATGTTCTCTGTTATTACATGTAATGGGGTGAATAGCGGAATGAGCCTATAGTTCAAATTAAAAAATTTAATTTAAGCCAATTTTAAAATGTGTATTTTCGGTGAGCATGCAAGCTTTTTAAGTTAGTGTGTTTTTGAAATATTTTTTTAATAAAAAAATTTGTATAATGCGGTTAATTAATTGAGTTATTAAAGGCGTGGCTTGTGAATTATAACCACACCCCTAGGTCAAAATGAAGTAGGTGGGGCTATGGGTTTGGTTAGTGGGTGTGCCTATAGTATTATGGGTGTGGCTGTGGTTATAGTGAAGCACCAAACATACATCAACCTTAGCTCTAGCAGTAAATATCTATAACAATCATAACTGAAAATTTTCAGTCATTTTACGTTTTGAAAATCCATAGCTGCGGTAAAATCTCGCCGGAGTAATCATAAAAGTATTCCAAAGTAGTCTTTAATAACCAGCCACACCAATTCTCACTGCTCACGTGATCTTCTACTGTGAATATGGCGGCCGCTAAGTCTCGTCGAGCAAACAAGCAGCAACAGCAGCGAGCAGCTGCTAATACAGCAGAATCAATCTCGATGACAACCAATGAGAAAATATTGAAAGAATGTCATGATCTTTATGTAACAGAGAAAAATGGTATTTTTATTTTATAAAGAATAATAATTATGTATACATATTATATATTCATTTTTGATAGGTCTCATTGCTTTAGGCAAAGAAGTAGATTACCCTCTCGTTCCTCCTCGTAAGAAAATTACTGTATTACTCATCGGGAATCATTCAGCTGGAAAAAGCTCATTTATTAATTGGTGGGTGTGGTTTGGCATCGTTATTCTTCATTTTATGTTGTCCATGTAGGTACATTGAGGAACATGTTCAGAAGACGGCAGTTGCCATAGAAACGCAGGGTTTCTCGATTGTGACTAGCGGAAAGAAGAGAGAGTCCCTCACAGTAAGGATGGGGTATAAAAATTAACGGGCAATCAGTATTATTTTTAATGGGCAATCATTTTATTAGGGAAATGCAACTCTTCATCTGTTTCCACAATTCAGAGAACTATCAGAGATTAATGGTTAATAATAATAATAAGTTATAATAATAATTCTTATTTCCAGGTGTGGTTGACTACCTCAGTACGGAGGTAGCCACATCAAAACAAAAGAGGTTTCCATTTGTCACGTTTATCGATACCCCTGGACTCGTCGACGGTGACATGAAGTACCCGTTTGACGTGGAGAAGACGCTTATCTGGTTAGGAGAAATGGCCGACCTTGTGTTTGTGTTTTTCGATCCTCTGGGACAAGCATTGTGTAGAAGGACACTTGATATTGTTGGTAGGTATGGAGTCAGACTTCCTCTCCTCTTCCTCTGTCTTTCCTTCAGCTCTTCCTTCATTACATACTACCTCATATCATGTTGTTTTCACATTGTGTACATGTACATATTATTATTGCAAGTAGACCAACAAAGTAATGATTATTCTTTTTGAAAATGCACCGTAAATTGGCTTAATAGAAGAATAAAATAGTATTTTCTTTAAATTCACAAAATTAGCAGAGTAAAAGTACTTACTGTATCTCTCTCCCTAGAGTGTCTCAATGCAAAACATCCTGAGAGAATCAAGTTCTATCTGAGTAAAGCGGACACAGCTGGTACTCAAGGGGACAGACAGCGTGTCCTAATGCAGATCACTCAAGAACTGTGCAAAAGACAGGGTCTGAACAGGGCCGGGTTTGACATGCCGACCATCTTCATACCATCACTGACAGAGAAGGTTTGAGACAATGGAAACAGTATTTATTGCATTGTTACGTTTACAGACAACTTGTGATAATCACATTGATGAAGTCTGTGAGACCATCACTAAAACTATTGACAGGAATATACAAAATACACTCAATACATTGGAGAAAGACGCTGCAACAATCTCATCACTCTTCCATGACAAACTAAACAAAGACAAGTTAGAGAGAGAGAGAGAGAGAGAGATGAGTTGAGGATTGTCCCTTTTTTATTTTTATATTAGGGAAACCAATCAGCTTAACATGAAGGCAAGGTGTAGATCATTCATAGTGTGGTTCTTTGCTTTGCTTTTTCCAGCTATTTATGCTTATTATGCTGCCAAGAATTGGGTAAACAAAGCATAGTACTACATGTACACATACAATATGTTTAATTAATTGTGTGGGTGGCATGAATTAATAGTATTAATAATTTTATTTTTAGGACTCGGTTGACAAGATCAATATGAGTGATTTATATTACTTACTCGGATTTAGTCTCATAAGTTTAATAATATTTGTTATTGGCTGTAAAATGTACAGGTATGATTTACTAACAGTATCCTAATAGTGCACTAAGAATATACCAATAATATACTAGGATTAAACGTGCTATGAGTAAGAAGGAGAGAGCTCGTGTCCAAGAGATAATTGCTTACATTGATAATACTGTCAAAACGAAAAAAGTAAATGCAATATGTTTTGCCATTTTGATTTTCTTTGTAGTCCTCTTCGTATCAAGATTATTTAAGTCAAAGTGTGTCTGGTATTGACATGCTAAATGAGAAATATTAAATCTTTTTAAATAAGTTTTTATCGGAGCATGAAAAGGTAGAAAATTTGAACTTCTCTGTGATTTTAGAAGATATTGAAAATTTTTGAAGACTTTATTTAATAGATATTTGACATCACAAACTTCTAAAGATATTAAATTATTTTTGATTTAATGTTGACAGATCATGTAGCACAAGCATCTTGCTCAAAATTGGGTGTACTATACCACAGTACAGGTATTTTGTCACAAATGCCTCAGAGAGAATTCTCCATTTTTATTACATTTTCTGATGCATAATTGCATATACACATACTTTTGTTGTATAGAAAGTTTGAACTGATCAATCAAAATAAAATTTTTTACAAAATTTTAAAATTTACTCAAATCAATTGTATATAGATAATGCATTAGTTGATGATATCAAATGTTATCACCAGCCCATGAGGCGTGGTGCAATATGTAATTGAATCCATTCTTACTATCAGTCTCACCTCTCTCTCTCATGATGTAATTTGAGAAGGTGGAGTGAGGAGATGGGAGGAACAGCTCTGCTCTTATGCACACTATCTGTTCATACATTCCCATCACATCTTTCCTCATTCGTTTATGTACGTGAGACAAGTCAATAAAATCTGTAAAATTTGATGCAAAGTATAATTTAAAGCCGGCCTCAGTGAGTGGCTCAAACCATTTTAAATTTGTCTCATCTGTAGCGACATATATGGGCGTGTCTCTGGTGAAGTCATTATTTAGCATTTCTAGTATCCAGTGGCCTGCTGTGAGACTTCCTGATATATGCTTTATTCTACGCACATGTAACGCATTATAACTACCAAGCTTTGTTCTCACTGCATCAGCTAATTGGTGATAAGTGGATTTATAATGAACGTATTCCTTTATCCATTCTCTTGCTTGTAGTGCTTTCCGATACTCCATAAACCGTAGTTCAATTCCAAAAAGACATCCTTCAATGAAGTATATAACATCAGAGCTATCATTAGCTAAATCAGATACATATCTTATGATAGGTTTTTCATGCTGTAATACAAACTCCGCCTGCTCTTCTTTGCATTTGTCCCTCCAGTCCTTCCTTGAAGTATAGATCTGTTTTGTCAGTAGTCCTACCTCTGCTTGGTTTAATGGCCGACGATCCAACCAATACCCATAGCCTAAGCTGTGACAGATATGTCTCCACTTGGTATCTTGTGAAAAATAATTCTGAATGAATTGTGAATGAGAGCTGTTTATTTCTGTAACTGGAACTAGTTTAGACATTAATTTCAAGTCGAGGACATTTGAGAGTGGCATTAGAGTTGAGGCTGCCATCTTGTTGTATGTGATGTATCCAAAGCGATTGTTTGGTGGTAGTTCTCTCTCCATCTTCTCACCTAAAGAGTGAGAGGAAATTGGATGCACTATTAGTGTCCGGTTGAGGATCTTGGCAAATAATAAAGCCATTTCTATTACTATCCTCTGATTATTCCATCCATTACCTACAGGAGAAGAGAAGTACAATTTTGAAATGATTCAAAAATCAATAGGAGGGAAAAAGAATAAAGGCTGCACATGATGTATACATACCTGGTGGTTGGTATGAAATGTATCCATTAGTGGTTAGTAATGGTTGCTGCTGGGTGTCTTGGTTTATTGTCAGTTGGTCTTGTGTCTGTAGTCCAAGGCTTACCTTCACTGTTGTTGCTGGACCAGTCAATTGTTGAAGGACATCATTATATTTTATAAAGTAAACAGTATATACTAATACTAGTATAAGACTAAGGGAGACAGTGTAGAGGAGTAGCTTGCTGTATACACCCATTCAAAATAAATAGGTGGAGAACTGAGGGAAGGTAGCCTATAAGTTGTATTGAATTACAAATCATAAGTCTATATTACACATTTTAACTGTTTCAAAAAATTTGAAATTAACAGGCTAATAAAATTTCAGCACTGGTAGAAGATAATTATAATTTTTAGTACAGTATCCTTTGTGTTTTTTGTCTATTTCAAGTGTCCTCATACTCTTATTAACTTGTAGTGACTGGAAAATGAGCTCCAGTGATTCCAATGACAATTGTGTTCCATCTAGATACATTACAGACAGTGTTGAGGTAGTGCAGATGAGATGTACAAGAGCTGGTGCACTAGCAGAAGTGATGAGTGGATTACCATGTAAATCTAATGAATTGAGTGTAGTGTTATGTTGAAGAGCTTGACAGATACTAATAACTCCTTTATCACTAATGGAATGATTAGCAATAGCTAGATGCTCCAGTGCTTCATTATCAGTCAGTAATTCACACAGGTACTTAATACAGTCAATAGGTAGTGGTGAATAACTTATGGCAAGATTTATCAGTGTTGATTTATGATGGATTAGTGATGGCAGTAGAATTAATGCACTGATAGGACATAACCAGTGAATGGATAATATTGTCTTATTAAATTTTTTAATGAAGTTTCTACATTGATCTGGAGATGGATGGTGAAAAAATGCATAATAATCTTTATATTCTGCTGTATTGTTCTTAAACCCTAAATGGTTAAGAACCAAAAGGCAAAAATTTTTGTGACATTAAGTTAAATTATATATACACACTGTTCAAAAAGCAAGGGTTGCTCAAAAACAACTTTAAAATTATTGAATAATATTATTGCTGTGTATACAATCCTAACTTTGTGGCACAACTTACCTTTTTCATAATGATGCTTGTCATATCTCAGTGCATTTAACAAAATAGGATCATTATCAAGACACTCTAAAAAAAGAAATATTTTCTCATCATCAGTATGAGCACCATTCTTTATTTTCTGGAGAATAGGAAGAGACACTTCTTGCTCCACCATTATAAACTGATATAGCTGAAGTGTCTCTAACATAGACTGAAGATGACTATGAGGAAAGAAAAATCCAACTTCAAGACCAGATTGTAAAATTTTTATATTAAAAGTTGAAGCTCCAGTTAAGAGATAATGGTAATGGGTCTCCAGTTTTTCTCCTTCTTTAATTGTGAGATTACCGCCACTAGTTTCATCAATTCTATGATAATCAAAACGAACTATAAGAATATCTTTTGCCATTGGCAGCACTTTTGACAGCGGAGATGTAGACTGATCCTTCTCTGTAATAATTAATTAATCAACTGATAATATAGGCTATTACTAACATACTTGATGGTACACTGCTTGAGTCAGCTTTTTTTATTTGACTCATCAATTTGTGATTTATTTTTTCTAATAATGTAATCTCATCTCTATTTCTCAGTAATAATTCCTTTTGTCCTGTGATAGATATGTGCATATAAGTATAACAGAATAGAATATGTATATATACCTGATCTATGTCTGAGAATTAATTGTTCAAGATCATGTAGTTTTGATTTAAATACTTTTCCTATATCAAGTAACTTGAATCTCATTTCAGAATCTACATACAAATAAAAATTTATATAAATGACACATCAAGACTATTACTTTGTCTATTCCTCAAGTATTTTAGTCTTTTCTCTTGATCAGCAATTGATTCTGTACAATAATTGTTAATAGTATTACACATTAGTGAAGTACACATGTGCATACCTTTTCTGTCTTTGTAAAAAACAATCAGTTCTTGTATTTCAGTATCAAACATTTCATTATCTCCTTCAAAACATAATTTTAAACTCTATGACAATGAAAGACACGAAATTTTATTAAATTATTTAGCATGTTAAAAATCATGAAATATACCTCGTGATTTTTGCTATTATAGCAGATGCAGTGTCCAATGGTCAGCTCCATTAAACTGAATTGTTTTATTAGAATAGGAAGGTTCTCTTGTACTCTTAAGATTAGTACACTCATTAAATGTTGAGGAGCATAGCAGATGATAATGATGGAGTTGTCAGGACATATAACTTGAACAATGACTCTCTTCCCCAAGTCAGCAAATGCTTTTTGAAGCAGAAGACGAATATCATTGAGTGAATGCTCATCTGGTTTCCAATCTAGTACAAATCGAATGGTTTCACATGTGAGGGTGCTGTTAGTGGATAGCCTTTTATTGAGTAATGAATCGAGAGGGATTTTTGAACAAAATTGCTTGACGACTTTTTTGTATTCTGTGATTAACTCTTCAGCTCCGTCTATCTTATAGAATTCAGTAATATCTTCTACAGCTGCTATATTGATGATATTACACTTTGTCAAGGCAACATTCATTGCACTTTGTACAGAATCAGCAACAGAAAGCTGTGATTCCAATTCTGGATAGCACTGCTGAAGAAATGTTTTAAAAGTGTTAAGTGATGAGATTTTTTCATCAACTAGTTCAAGAACTTTAAAACGAAATATTCCAAAGTTGCCTCTCATTTTATCAAAGGAATACTGATGTTCAGCTTGCAATAATTCAACTGAAATGACTAGAATGATTTTAATAATAATAAATTATGATGATGATGAGAATATACCTGTTCCTAGTGGGTTTGTCACTTTCTCCACTTCCTTAGTAGCAGAAGCACTGGATGCACTAGGACTAGGCTCTGGCGAGTTCAATTCAGGAGCAAAAGTTTGTTTACCTTTAAAAATAATAATAACATTATTGATTGTGCAAATAAATATACATACAATCTTTAATCATGTCATTAGCAATAGAGACTCCCTCTTTTGATTTCATTATAATGTGACCCAACTTTATCAATTTCCTGTTGTCCTCAACCACATTGATAAGTATTTCATTCAATAGTATATCTCTTGTGAGTCGGCTGCCACATCCTTCAATTCTCTTTTGTGATTCTTCCATTATCAATCCCTCAGTGTACAACAACTGAATAGAACTGATACTAAAAACTATGCTTGATATTCTACTGCTATAATGCTGTAATATCTGACTAGCAGGATCACAATCTATAAAAAAGATTAGAATTAAGTAAAGTCATACATATCTAGCTTTATAATTATTTACATTTTTTACGAATGTGTTCAGCAGCAGCTCGATCCAACTCCTCTAAAGCACTGGCCAGCATTTCCCAAGTACGAACTGAACTCGAGTTTAACCACAGGCTCAAACATTCCATCAAGCGCTCAGAGTTGCTGTCATTATCCTTTTTTATGCTCTTGAGGTCAGGATATTGAAGTCCCAGTTTCAATCCCAAATTTAACCAATCAGCATCAGAGAACTTCCCACTTTTCAAAGCATCTCTGACCAGCTGCAGGTGACTTATATCTGTAGAGACCATTGTAAACCATTAGTGGCAGTACTGTCTCTTACCTAAAGAAAGAAGAAACGAACCCTCACAAGATGCCATTCCAGCAACTAGCCAGCCCCACCCTTTAGGTTAATTTGGGTGTGGTTCTAAATTTTCGCAAATTTTACGTAGCTCCGTATACTACTTAAAAACTCGGTTTAAAATGGTAGGATGAATTAATTTTATTTTCTATTCTGTTCTTTCTCTTTCTCTTAGGCTACAGCAGTATTACCAGCAAGACATGACTCTTATGAAAGTTACTACAGTGAAGAAGAAGATGACAACAGAATAAGAAGCACTGTAACAGCTTTAAAAGTAAGACTATTTTAATTAATTATATACATATGTAATTAATAATAACTCTTTTTCTCTTTAGCAACCAGAGAAAAGAAAGAGATCACCATCACCGTAAGATATTATTGTATAGGCGGTAATTTGGAGGGAAACTTTTGGCATTTTGATAGCCATTTGTTAAAATTAAATGCACCATTTTAAACCATTATGCAGTACATGCTCAATGGCCCATGGCCATGAATTTTTCAAATTGAAACTTACCAATCACTAAAAAATTTGCAATCCTCAAAACTTCATCCCCCCAATTTACATTATAGTTAATTAGTAGTTATTAGTGGGTGTGGTTTTCATTAATACAGTGACACAAGAGAAGATGCATCAAGAGATGATGATGGTGCCAGTGAGTGGGTGGAGAAGAAGAGAAAGAAAGACGATGACTCCATTCTAACAAAGACAGGTGGGTGTAGCTTGTATTATTGCAACCTACGTTTATTAATTAATTAATGTAGGCGGAGCTTATATCCCACCAGCTAGACTAAGAATGATGCAAGCACAGATAACAGACAAGACCAGGTATAGAAATTATATTTTAAAATTATTATTTATTTATATTTTATTTTCTCTCTCTCTCTCTCTCTCTCTCTCTCTCTCTCTCTCTCTCTCTCTCTCTCTAGTGCCCCATATCAAAGAATGGCTTGGGAGGCTCTTAAAAAGAGTATTAATGGTCTCATTAACAAGGTACGTACAATCAAATGACTGTCACATGATCACAGACACACCTCCTTAGGTCAACATATCAAATATTGCTGACATTGTGAGAGAATTGTTCCAGGAGAATATTGTGCGTGGGCGGTAAGTGTATTTATACTCTAATTATTCAATTTCGATATTATTTGTGTTCTTTTTATTAGAGGATTATTGGCACGATCAGTAATATCAGCTCAGTCTGCCTCGCCTACTTTTACTCACGTCTATGCGGCACTGGTGGCTATAATTAATACAAAGTTCCCTCAGATCGGAGAACTCATTGGAAAGAGACTCATCATTACCTTTCAGAGGGCGTTTAAAAGGAACGACAAGAAGATTTGTTTATCATCAGTGAGATTCATAGCCCATTTGGTCAACCAACAGGTGAATATAATAATAATAATAATACTTTAATCACCTCCAAATTTTATTACATTTTCTGATACATATTGACGTCCTTATGCTGTGTAGAAAGTTTGAGCTGATTCCGACTTTAATTTTTCAAGTTTTAGCCATTTTAAGAAAACGTCAAAAATCTGAAAAATACCCAAGGCTATAGTCCATGGTTTTTTCCAAAAAATGGCTCCGAAATCACCCCCAATTTTTATTACATTTTCTGATACATATTGATGTCCTTATGCTGTGTAGAAAGTTTGAGGTGATTCCAACTTCAATTTTTCAAGTTACGGCCATTTTAAGAAAACGTCAAAAATCTGAAAAATACCCAAGGCTATAGTCCATGGTTTTTTCCAAAAAATGGCTCTGAAATCACCCCAAATTTTTATTACATTTTTTGATACATATTGATGCCCTTATGCTGTGTAGAAAGTTTGAGCTGATTCCAACTTTAATTTTTCAAGTTACGACCATTTTAAGAAAATGGCAAAATTCTGAAAAATACCCTGTACTATATAGCCCATGGTTTTTTCCAAAAAATGGCTCCGAAATCACCCCAAATTTTTATTACATTTTCTGATACATATTGATGTCCTTATGCTGTGTAGAAAGTTTGAGGTGATTCCGACTTTAATTTTTCAAGTTACGGCTATTTTAAGAAAATGCCAAAATTCTGAAAAATACCCTGTACTATAGCCCATGGTTTTTTCCAAAAAATGGCTCCGAAATCACCCCAAATTTTTATTACATTTTCTGATACATATTGATGTCCTTATGCTGTGTAGAAAGTTTGAGGTGATTCCGACTTTAATTTTTTGAGTTACAGCCATTTTAAGAAAATGCCAAAATTCTGAAAAGTACCCAAGGCTATAGCCCATGGTTTTTTCCAAAAAATGGCTCCAAAATCACCCCAAATTTTTATTACATTTTCTGATACATATTGATGTCCTTATGCTGTGTAGAAAGTTTGAGGTGATTCCGACTTTAATTTTTTGAGTTACAGCCATTTTAAGAAAATGCCAAAATTCTGAAAAATACCCTGTACTATAGCCCACGGTTTTTTCCAAAAAATGGCTCCGAAATCACCCCAAATTTTTATTACATTTCCTGACACATATTGATGATATCTCAATGGCAGGTTGATATGCTTTATGAGTTAGAGAATGACCTGAAGGAGCTCTCATTTTATGCAGTTGAAACTAACGACACGATTGAAATTCACACCATTTAAAAACATCATGTGGTAATTGTATCATCATTATGATATTAATAAAATTGAACAGTGATATTACACAGTACAAAAGATAAATTATTATCATTATTATTATCATCATCTCAGCATGGCTTTAACTGTTGTTAAAAATTTCTAAACAGAGAGAGAGAGAGAGAGAGAGAAAAAACATCGAAATTATGACCATCGTTATTCTTCTTACCTTAAACTCATTGTCAACTTGACCGGACATGTCTAGCTTCTGTTTTTTGACACTCCTTCTCTCCTCCTCTCTACTGATACCATCATCATCTTTATCATCATAATGAAGGTCGACCACTCCACCAATAGGAAGCTGCAGTGTTGAGACTGGCTTACTGGCAACCTTAAAACTAACGCTTCCTTGAGAATTCAAAGACTGTATGTTAGCCGGTTTGGATCTCTCAATCTCTTCAGTTCTAGTCTCAACTTTATTCTTGTAATACAAGTTAAACTGGTTCCACGGGTGTAAGAAGTCGAATCTTCGATCGTCGACGTGTTTTAGGATCACGGTCCTTTGAAAGTCTCTTCCATTCTTAGCGACATATTCTGCAGTCCTGTCCACTATTGGCTGGAGATCTGGAGGGGGAGGGGGAGGACCAACTGTGTACAGTTTAGATGCTTCAAGGTAGGCAGTCATCAGGTCATAACCAGAATATGTAGCAGGAGGATTAGCATCTATTATTAGGATGAAGGAGTAAAATTATAATTTGCAAATTAAAAATTATTTGTAAAGTTAATATACAAGTAAATGCACAAAATTAGTAATTGTACATATACTAAAAATTATTAGTGACACTTAAATTCAGCATTTTAAAAGATCCTAAATTTACTAGTCAATTAAATACATGTAGAACAATCATGACTTTACAGAAACTTCATATGTACATGTAGATGTACACCATCAATCATTCATTATGTTATGAAGTTCTTACTTGTCGTGTTAGTCTCATTGTCAGTTTGGATGCTCCTTGTAGCCTCTCCTTTCTCTCTGTAAGACAATTGAGAGAGAAGAAAAGAGATCTTTAATACATAATGAATATGAACGACATTAATATGCTCTTATAATGGCTACACAGTGATCAGGAGAGACACATCATTTATAACATGATGCAGTAACAGTAAGTTCCTGGAAGATTTCGTGATATACTTACTAATCTCTTTTAACTGACGTTTGGAACTGAGGTTTAATGTCCTGCTAATAATTCATTGATAATAAATTAATAATAATGATAATGATCATAGGAGAAGAGATAAAATCAATATTTGATAAATTAAGATTTAAATTCGAAATTTTTACTCACTTTGTTTCTGTCGTTTCCACAGTTGCGGTCGTTTCCATGGTTACAGTCGGAGCAGAATTTATGCTTATTTTAGAAAGTGATATCACCGATGTATTGGGAGTGGTGGTAGGTGTGGTTTTGGGTGTGGCTTTTGTTGCCGACAATACCAAGACAGGCCTCAACAATGGATGAAGTTCAGTGCCTTCTTGTTCAACAGTATCATCATTACCATCATCATCAGAGTAAGCAGGGACAATGGAGTCCCACTTGCGTTTAGACCTCTTCTTTCTCTCTCCCTCCTTCTCTCCTTTATCCTCTTCCTCCTCTTTCACCTTTTCTCCTTCAGCAGGTGGTGTGTCTCCATTTTCTTTCGTCTGATTATTATTATTGTTTTGTGAAGGAGGAGGAGTGTAGGAGCCACTACTGATTGCGTGTAGCAGCTGCTTATAATACGGGAACAGTCTGTCGTCATGATGAAGGAAGGAGAACCGAGGATTGTACTTTTGTTTTGTTTTTATTATAATCTCCATTTGCTGTCCTTGAGTGCTCACGAATTTAGCAGTGTGTTCAATAATGGACTGGAACTTCTTTGAATAAGGCTGGAGAAAAGAGAGAGAGAGAGAGAGGGAGAGAAAGAGAAAGAGAGAGAGAGAGAGAAGGATAAGAGAATACTGATATTACCCGTTACTCACCCTCTCTATATAAAAAGGTATTTCAAGACCAGGTGGATCGTAGTACATGTCCCGCTCATCCTCCACAACATCAACAGTGAGAGTCGGAGGGTGTTCAATGAGCTCAGGACCAGCTGGAACTAGTGAAGAGGTCCCGCCCTCCCTCTCATTATTGTTATAAGAATAACCAACGGCAGAATATGAGGACTTCACTGCATGACTGTCCACAGCTTCTCTTTCTGTCAACAAGAAATAAAGTCAAGCTTTTATTGACTGCACTACATGTAACTTTAGTGAATTTAAAGATATAAGTAATGTATAATCAGAAAATGTAATAAAATGATAAATTCTCTCCTTTTCATTTTTGAAAAAATTTGGCCTGAGACCATGTACTATAGTACAGGGACTTTGGTCTGATTTTTGATCAACTTTAAAAATGCACAGCTTACCTAGGTCTTCTTCTAGTACATCAGTCCCTAGTGCTAGATACCTCTCCTCGTCTAACTGTGCCTCTAGAGACTCTTCTGTCTCACTCAGTCGATGAGGAAGACTTGGTTTAATACCAAACTGAGACTTATCGTCAAAGTGATTCCTAATATCATATCTGAAGAACAACCCACAACGATAAATCATAGATAATAGCAAGAAAATGATAAATCACCAACAATAAATCCCACTATACAGTAATACAGTGTATCCATATGCTGTACTGCTGATACAATATCCTATAATTATATATACATACCTGTCCACCATTAGAGACGAATCTCCCATCCAGGGTATTAGCATGGACCCGCTATTCTCCAGCTCTGCTTTAACGTCATCTCTATACAGCTTACACTGATAGCCAAATACCATCAGGTCCTCCAGGCTATCTCCTTCTTCTTTCTTCTTTGAACGAGACGAGCCTCCCTTTTCAAACGGGCCCATAAGAATGGACATTTTGAATCACGTGATCATACTCCTTACATTGTTTCAGTAGGCGTGGCTAATAAAATTTAGTGGGTGTGGTTTGGGTCAAATTACTATGACAACAAAACAACATGGCGGATGAACTACCAGAGATTCAAGCAAGTGTAAAAGCAAGAGAAAGGCTGCTTATTGTCCGTTTATAGGTGGAGGCTCCTGCCATCATGGAGCCTGGTGGATCTGAACTGGATGATGAAGAGGTTGGATCGCTGGATTCAAGAGCTGGCTCAAGACTGATGGATGTTGAGGGAGATGCTTTTGATGCTGATGCACTCTCTGATGACGTCTCAGACACTGGCTGGGAAACTGACCTTGAAATAGAAGGTATAGAGAGAGATCATACAATAACTAACCAGGAACATGCTTTAATTTTTTTATTTTGCATTATAATTCTTTACTGAATGCTTGTTTTTTTTCCAGAGGAGAAGGAGAAATATGATGCCACAGGGCAGAAGAATTATGTCAAAGCCTGTGACAGCATAGGCATAGTGCCAGCTTCTCATTTCATGAGGTGCCTCTCATCACAAGAGCCAAGCATTGACCTCAGTCATCATTATGTTGGAGCAAAAGGAGCTAAAGCCATTGCTGTTGCTCTTATTGTAAGAAGAACATCTCTCTCTCTCTCTTCTTTTTCCTCTCCTTCTTTCCCTCCTCTCTCTCTTCTTTTCCTCTCCCTCTCTATCTCATTCTGCCTTTCCCCTCTCACTTTCTCTCTCTCTCCTCCATTACACAGTCCAATACAACAGTTACTAATCTCAACCTATCATACAATGGGCTCTGTCCTGAAGGAGGTGTTGCCATTATTGATATGCTGAAAGAGAACTGCTACATCACTCACCTTGATCTCTCCAATAATGGCATTGCTGCTACTGGAGCAGTCATGCTCCTTGATATCCTGGCATCCAATACAACTGTCACTCATCTCAATTTAAGTGGTAAGACCGGGGAGAATTGTGATCCTTGTTCAAGAAGAATATACATTATAATATTATTTTTATTATTTTCAAGGTAGTTCATTTGATGACAAAGCTGCTGAGCCTCTTTCTGAAATTATCAAAGTGAGACAGAGAGGGCCAAAGGAAGAGAGCAAAAAGACATTATATTTTGTTTTTTTCATATATTATCTGTAGTCAAGTATTCGTGTAACGCATCTGAACTTAAGCCACAATGAGTTATCTGAAGCTTCTGGTGTCTTGATTGGAGCAGCATTAGGTAATCCATGACATACATGTATACTGGTACATGATGAATATTTTTATAGCTGAAAGTGAAGTACTGCAGCACCTTGACTTGAGCTGGAACTACTTAAGAAGAAAAGGAGCTGTAGCCATTGCCCAGGGACTAAAGCCCAACCAAATGCTCAAGAAGCTCAATCTTTCTTATAATGGCTTTGGAACTGAAGGAGCAGTCGCTTTAGCCGATTCATTGAAAATAAATACAACACTGACACACCTTGACATCACGTAAGTGAAGCATCTTAATTCTCTCTCTCTTTCTCTTGGTCTCTTTTCTTTTGCATTTGTACCTTATTAATTAATCAATTTTTAAAGGGATAATCGTATACTGATTGATGGTGTTCGTGCTATTGCTAAAGTACTGCAGACCATAGACTCCCTCCAGTCACTAAAGGTACAACATAAGATAACCTACTGTTGTACACCATATTATTAATGCATATACCTGTACATTGTAGATTGGACATAATCCAATACAGATAATTGGAGTTATAGCACTTTTAGAAGCTCTGAAAAATGGAACAAGCTCCGTCAAATATCTAGGCCTTGATGTAAGAACTAAGCATCACTGCTACTGAACATCATTCATTAATATGAACATTTAATATTCAATAGGGGATCACAGTGACTTTAAATGTGGCCAAAATAATCACTGAGATGCAAGAGGAACACACCGGCCTCGTCATTACAACTGGAGGTACCGGAGGGTACAAAGAACCACGCCCACTTCCGACCCCAGTGGAAAAATTGTTTAAATATTCAAAAGAAAACAACATCAGATTAAGCGACTTATTCATAGTCTACGACAAGAAGAAGAGACTATTTCTGACTGAAGCAGATTTCAGGGCATCTCTCAAAGTATGCATAAATGTACCAGTCTATAATACACGAGTGCACATGTAGCTAGAAATTTCTATCCTCCAAAATTTCTGCTAACATTCCTTACAATAATTATTGTGATTATTTTAGTATTTTCAATAGCACTTGCTACCTTATCCTTTCCTTAGCATATAAGTGCTCCTTTGATGGAGTTTGAGGTACTCAAGTTACTCAATGAATTTGGAAGGAAAGCAACCAAAGAAGACTTTGCAGCTCCTGCAGCTCCCGAGGGAGAAGAAGGAGGAGGAGGAGGAGGAGGAGGAGAGGGAGAGGAGGGAGAAGGAGTAGAAGAGTATTCTGATGCTGATTTAGAAGAATTGAAAATTGTAGAGTATAGGTTTGTGAGGTGTTTTATTAATGCCATTATGTGTTGTTACCACTTTTAGGAATATACTCCAAGCTATAGATGCTCTCGTTCAACAATAATAAATCAATATTATTATATTATTATATTATTTTTGATTTTTGATTTCTTCATGGAAAAATTCATTAATGCAGTCTCAATATAACCTCTAGTTGTGTAAAAATAGTTATAATCATTATAAGAAATGAAAAAACCTTCAATCATTTGATTTAAGGTCTATTTCTGACCACGTGGTTTCCGTGTACTTTTGTAAATTGAGTCCGTACAGCACTGTAAGTTATAAAGAGTTATTAAGTATTTCTCATTAAGCCACTCCCACACTCATTGGGCCGGTCGAGCTTTGGGCTCTAACTTCTCTCTCTCTTCACTAGACTATTTCTCTGCTGCCCTTTAGACTGATGGAGTCTAAAAAGAGGGTCGTCTCCAACTACCGTTCCTCTATCATAGGCCCGCCTGTTTTCCAATACACGAGTATATATGCTAAGATTAGCGAAGCAAAGAATCTGGCGTGAGTTTCTGATGCCCTCTTATCATTTTTTTAGTCATAATGGCCACTCTCTCTCGTTTGATTTGGTGTTCATTGTACACTTTTAAATATAATTTTATTTATATTTTTGTATGTGCACGTATTATGATTATGCATATTGTTGTTATTGTTGTTGTTTATTGTATAAATTACTTTGTTTGTTCTCCCTCCCCCCTCTATCAATTAGTTCTGGTTTGAGAGATGTTTACTGTTATATCAAAGTAGACAACGAAGCTATCGCCAGGTAAAACAATAACAACAACGAATATAAGCGTTAATCTCTAATTAATAATAACAGTAATAATAAAATAATTATTATTATTATTATTTAGGACTGCTTCAGTTTTTAATTCTTCGGAGCCATTTTGGGGCGAGGAGTACAGACTCCATGTACCACTGGAGTACCAATATGTATCAGTCTATCTGTACGATCACGACACATTGGGGTAAGAGTAATAGGGACACCATGTACAGTAATCTACTGTATATCTCCTTTTCCCATTCTCTTCCTCCTTTTCCTCTCCCTCTCTCTCTCTCTTTCTTCCCCTCACTCTCTCCCTCTCCCTCTCTCTCCCCTCTCTCTCCTCTAGGGTAAAGGTACCCATTGGGAAGGTAAGGCTGGACAGAGACTCCATCATGGGGTCCCCTAGAGGACTGGACAGCTGGTTTCCTCTTAAGCCGATCAGTAAAGACGATGAGATTCAAGGAGAGCTCCTGGCGGAGATAATGATAGACGAATACAGTGACGTAAGATACTGGCACATAATACTTAAGAGATATAGAGAATTATTATTATTATTATTATTATTATTATTATTATTATTATTATTATTATTATTATTATTATTATTATTATTACTTATTTTTATTTTATTTATTATTTTTAGGAGATGTTTAGAGGAGTAATTACACTGGTTGAAGCTAGGTTAGTCTTTTTAAAATTTATTTATCTATTTATTTTATTTATTTATTAAAGGGATCTTGCCGTCAGAGATATAAACAGTAAAGTGGATCCTTATGCCGTCATCAATTACAAGGGAAAAGAGTTGAACACGCCCACTTTAAAAAAGACCCGTTTCCCTCGTTGGAACAAGACCTACGAGCTACCCATCAATCGTCCACTGGAGGAATTCGATAATAGAACAGTTAGAATTACTATTTATGATTCAGCGAAGTTCCACCATGATGCTTTTCTAGGAGAAGTAAGAATATTTAAAATGTGTACATGTACATGTACGTGACATTTCAATTTGGCACTTTAATGATCTCATACTAAAATTAATTTACTGAACCAAATTTAGTAGCAGACAATTGAAAGTTATTATTAATTAATTGGGCGTGGTTATTTGATTGTTTTCTATCAACTTGGCGTGTGTGGGCGTGTTGTTTACAGTAATTGTTTTTCTTTCGTTAATAATGGATTATTATTTTCATTGTCATGGTTCATTGTGTTTATTTAAATTAGCAGTGGAGGGTAAACATGCACCTGTTATAATTCTGGGAGACTGCTGTGGTGTCCTTTATGTGGAGGTTATTTTATACAGTAAGGAATGTAATTGGTACACTAGGTGCTGTCCGTTAAATGGAGGTGTACGCTATAGAGAGTGTCCATTAAGAGAGACTATACTTTATTTAAATTTTAATTCAATTACCAGCATCATGCCTACTGATCTTCTTGCCAAGTTTGTTTACCCTTCGTCTCGTGTCTTTGATCTTTGATGTCTCCATGTACATGTACAAGCAATCACTGCTCCATTATTATCATTATTAATTGAATCAAGTTCATTTTAAACACGACTGGATATACTAATGTTAAAATTAAAACTTACATGTACTTGAAATATCAATAATAAATTAATAATAAATGTCTTACCCTCTCATTATTCAGGTTATTATTGATCTTGCTGAGCTTTTTCTCGGCCAGCGTTACAAGACCTGGTACAGACTCCAGCAACAAGACAAAGAGACCTCAGCTGCAATGCCTTCAGGTGGCGCTAAAAAGGACGGAAAGAAAGAGAAAGATCTGGGATCTCTAAGACTAAAAGTCCAGTGCCATGAGGAACGGATTCTTGACTCACAGCTTTATAGTCCATTTGTACAGTTGATGATCAGTGCTGTAGAGTCACCAGGGGTATGAATTATACATGTACATGTACAGTATAGGCACTGTTAGATCTAGAGGGAGTTTAGGAGACTTTTGGTCTCCCATATTTGGTCTGAGTCTCCTGAAATCTCCATTTTTAGTTTTTATTAGCATCTTGTATTTAGAAATAGAAAACCTAAATTTACATGTAGCAACAAAAGCAACACAATGTGTGTTCATGTACATGTACATGTACATGTACATGAACATGAACATGTACATGTACAGTAGCCAATAGATTGTTCTTTAGCAGTTGTCTTTAGTTTGGAACAATGTCAATACATTTCAATGATAATAATAATATTTTAACAATTATAATAACTGTTATTATTATTATTAACATTCTATAGCCTGAAGGCAGCCCTCTCCTGATAATGCTGGAAGAAGTCATGACAATGGACAGGAACTCCTTAGCTCAGACCTTGGTCCGGTTTTACATAGCCCACAATGCCATCCTCCCTCTCTTTGACTGTCTCATCAGTAGAGAAGTAGAGAATGTCTCTCTGAGTAATGTCACCACTCTATTCCGTGGGAACTCTCTCGCTTCTAAATGTCTCGACCAGTTCATGAAAGTGAGTGGGTGTATCTTCGTTAATTATCCTTCCTGCATCAACGCATGCACGCATATTAATGAGCTCTATATTATTATTATTATTTATTTATTTATCATTAGGTCGTTGCATTACCATATCTTCACGAGACCCTTAAACCAGTTATTGATACGATATTCAATGATAAGAAACTAGTCGAATTAGACCCTGACCAACTCAAGTAATAATCATCATCATTATCATTATTATTATTTTTATTTTATAGAACAAGATCAAGTTCCACGTCAAAGTTAATTGACACTTCAGTGGCCCAGCTGACTGGATACATTCAAATTGCTACCGAGTCAATATTTGAATCAGTCGAACGTTGCCCTCAAGTCCTGAGGCAAAGTATGAGACTGTTGTGGGACCGAGTCATAGTGAAGTTCCCTGATGGGGTAAGAGTGATAGTACAATAGTCACCACCTGATGAGAAACCTTTTAATGTTTAAAGACCCACTTTTAAATAGACGTCAGCTCTATTGTACATTATATTGTCCTGATCAAAAACCACTCCTCTTATAATACCATATTTTCCCAGAACTATAACCATATGATCTCTCAAAAGGGAACTAGCTACATTTATAAGTCTCAATACATTAAAAACACTAATATTAGTACATGTACATGTACACACAATTATTAAAAATATATAAATATTTAGTAATTTATTTATAATTTATACATATTTTTAGGACACTCCCTATAGTTCAGTGACTGGCTTTATTTTCTTAAGATTCTTTGTTCCGGCCATTTTGTCTCCTAAACTGTTCGCTCTAAGAGAGGAGCATGCAGATCAGAGAGCAGAAAGAACTCTTAAGCTAACGGCAAAAGTATTATTTATTTATTTATTTATTTTTTTTTAATTATTTTCCAGTTAATCCAGACGATGGGTAACCTACAGACTGCGGTTGATGCTAAGGAGCAGTTTATGTCTCCAATGGCAACGCTTTTAAAAGAGGGCGTGGACAAAGTTAAAACGTACATCAATCAGCTGATCGATGTTCAGATTGTCATGAACACACCATCAGGTTACTATTAATGATGATTATTTTATTATTATTTTTTATTTTTATAGCAACTCCAGTAGAAGTCCTCTCTGATGGTTTAGGTTATTTGCAACATGTTGTGTTAAATTCCGGCGTGTTGTGGAAGAGGGTCACCAGTGGTACTTCAGGGGCTGTCGGCAGTTTGCTGTATAGGAAGAGATTCTTTGAATTGACTAATATTGCCTTTACTTACTTTCCTACTGAGAAGAAGACTGGGGTATGATACCTCTGAAGCCACTTTTATTATAAAATTCTTATCGTTGCTGTAAAAAGTACCCAAGGCTATAGTCCATGGTTTTTTCCAAAAAATGGCTCCGAAATCACCCCAAATTTTTATTACATTTTCTGATACATATTGATGTCCTTATGCTGTGTAGCAAGTTTGAGCTGATTCCGACTTCAATTTTTCAAGTTACGGCCATTTTAAGAAAACGTCAAAAATCTGAAAAATACCCTGTACTATAGCCCATGGTTTTTCAAAAAAATGGCCTTGAAATCATCTCAAATTTATATTACATTTTCTGGTACATATTGATGACCTTATGCTGCCTTCCCTTTAACAGGAAGCCAAGAGCTATCCCGTCCAGTGGATAAGAGTGGTTGAGAAATTGGATGAAGCCGCTTTCTCACGGAAGCACATGTTCCAAATAGTAATTGTTCCTGTGGGACCATCGACAGCCTTTTCACCTAGTGAGACAGTACTCTACCTTCAAGCAGCTGTAAGTTTGAAATAATAATGATTATTGGAAGTTATGTGAAAGTATTGTATCCACCATCACCACAACAAAGTATTGTGTGTCCATTACCAATTCCTGTTGTTGTTGACAGGATGTTAACGAACAGAATCGTTGGGTATCCGCCATAAGGAAGGCTTGCCTTTGTAATCGTGAGATGAGTCCTGTCCACCACACTGGAGTCTATCTACCCAGGAAGAAGGAATGGAGTTGCTGTAGGGCCACGGCTCCAGCTGGTAAAACACGTGTACATGTACATATGTCTTTTGTTTAATGAAATACACATATTCTAATTAATGCCCTTGTTTATTCCAGAGCCTGGTTGCTGTCCTTGCCATCGTGGGATTACAATAGGCGACTGGAGGGACCCTCTTGATCCTTATCTTGATGCACAAGTACTCTACTCTCAGTACCAGCAAGGACGCGAGACTCTCACTAAGAATTACTCGGCTCCAGCGGAAAGTGAGAACCCTGAAAATCCTGACGTTCCTCCACCTCGACCGGCAAAACCAGGCTCTGATGAAGCAAGAATGCAGGCAGCATACGGACGCCTTGCGGAAGTACTTGATGAATTATCGTACCATCACTCTCAAGTGCCTAATGTATAACTGATGTACTGTATGTTCTCCTGCTCTCTCTCTCTCACTTTTCAAGTTTGTCAGTTTGTGTATCGAACATTTATACTAGGAGAATAGTAGACTATTATTATTATTATTATTATTATTACTATTGATGTCTCAAGTTTGCAATTTATTATTATTTTTTCAACAACATACAGAGATAATAATCATTATCATTATTATTATAATCATTGATGAATTCTATAAACAAAATGGTACACAAACAAAAATAATGATGATTATTATAATTACTGGACAAAGACGAGATACTGATGATAATGATAACAAGACACAATAATAATTATTATTAAAAACAATATTGCTGATGAAATACAGAAAATAGTTGGAGTTCTTGATGATTAATAACGAGTGTGTGGGCGGGCGGTGTGTATGGTACGGAAATTATTAACATGTAATTCTGAGAATGAGAAATCGGGAATGAGTCTCTGTCTTGGCCTCAGTCCCAACCATTGTCTTTGATCATGTGTGCCAATTCAATGATGAATTTACCTTCTTTGTACTTCTGACTGCTTTCATAAGCATGCTCCTATGATAAATAAATAAATAAATAAATAAATACAATGTATCCTCTATAATAATGAAAAGATTACACTCTTGTAATAATTATGATAATCATTAATGACATTCACAATTTATTTATCAGTTATTCATTTATTCTTTATTATAATAATAAGAGGTCAATGGGTACATATGTATTACTCTGCAATAGAGTATTACATGGTTTGTTTATGGTATGTCACACACAGTTCTGCTCCATCAGCATATATCAGTAGAGAATAAGCAGCAGTGGCTCATTAGCTTTGCTTGATAACAGTGTTAGCAACATAGTAACTACAAGCAGTTTCTGTAAGCAGGTGCAATTGCATCAGACATGGTTAAAATATCATTAATAGTTATGTCTGTGTAGTCTCCATGGACCTATCACACGCTATTCCCTTTCATATACTACCATATCTACTAGTCTTCTTTATAAAGACATAGTTAATTGATAGATGTTATGATAAACAACCCACTCCTTGTTCTCTTCTCTCTCTCCCTCTCTCTTTCTTTGCATGTTTTAAAACTTACATATTTCCAGCCGAGTGTTGTCTTGCAGTTGTTGCAGTAAATGTCTGCAACAGCATGCAAGCCAGTTAGCAGAACTCTCTCTTCAGCACGACCATGATCAACATTAACACTGGATGAAGGAAGGAAGGAAGGAAAGACAAGAGAGAGACATGATATGAGAGAAGTAAATTGAGAGGAGTGGGAGACACATGTTATTGACATGTTATTGTAATATGAGCAATCATAAGAATCTCAAATGTGGTGTAGCATTTGATTGTGTGCATAACAAAGGATTAAGTAGATCTACTGGACAATTATTCTGTTATTGTGTATGGTAACAGTATGGAATGTAGAAAGAAAGCTGATGCCAAAGCTACAAGCCCAGGGAAGGAATAACTTACACTTTATTGAAAAGATAGGCCTTTCCTTGGCTGCCTTGAAAAGACTGTGGTGGTATCATACAATAAAAATGAAAATTATAATAAATAAATTAGAATATTCACTTTTGATATGAGTTCATCGTGATTAGCTAGGTGAGCTCTACAGTGTACGCATATATAACGTCTGTGGCAGAGGTCAGGCAAGTAGTCCTGGAACTTTCTCTTTCCCATAGCTACCTGGAAGCGTCTATCGACACTATTAGAGTGAGAGTCACGCTAGTAAAGAGCGAGCAATCCACACTTAGAGGTGATGGTATTTTACACGAGGTATGGCCTCGGCTAGATTCTTGTAAGATTTTGACAGGCTTGTGCTCTCTGACTAAAACGTCTTGCCTTAGAAAAGAAGGCAAATATTCTTCTTCACATTACTGAGAAGACCGACGGCGATTATGTTTTTGTTTACTCGGTCGAGCCGTATTGTACCGTTTACAATCGGACACTAACGGAAACGCACTGCTCCGGGACATTCTCCGTATTTTCCGGGTCACGTAGTTACCATACCGTAATAAGTCTATTTAACAGTACAAAAATTATTCTCTCGATCTCTCGATCTCTTTTCCGTGGGTACAAAACCTCTCTCCTTCTCCATTCCATTGTATTGATGATCTTAGGTCCATTCTAGCGTCTAGAGCAGCCAATCTTCTCCGTGCTTATAATGGCAACTGTCAAGCCTCCTCCAGAGATAGTCCGCGGGCAAGCATTCGACGTAGGGCCCCGATATTCAAACCTTTCTTATATTGGAGAGGGTGCATATGGGATGGTTTGGTAAGTGGCTATAATAAAATATGGAATCCTCACTATTTGATGCTCTATTTTAAAATGGCTGCCTTCCTTACATGTACATGTACGCATATTGGGTTTTTTTCACACGTCGTTGCTATGGTGATTTGTTCTAAATTTTGTTCATACCAAAGATTTGTATGATTGGTATTAATTGGTATTTCTGTTATGACCTTCTCCTTTTGTATGTATCTGTTTACAACTAGCCATAATGACCATCAAACTCCTACCCGTCTGCTTCTTTTTTCCTGTCTCTCCCCTCTCTCTTTCTCCCTCTCCCTCCCCCCCCCCCTCTCTCTCTCCTACTTTCAGTTCTGCAGTAGATAACCAATCATTAACCAAAGTGGCCATCAAAAGGATAACCCCGTTTGAACATCAGACATATTGTCAAAGGACACTAAGAGAGATAAAGATCCTAACTAGATTCCGCCACGAAAATGTAAAAAGATCACATTATACAATGAAGGATCCATTAGTGCTCTTTGTCACCTTGTGTGACATCACTTAATACTTGTCTTTAAAGGAATCAAATTGTTTATACCTTTTTTATCAAGATTAGCAGAGAGAGTAGTCTGTTTCATGGCTGCCTTGTTTATTGTATGTAACATGTAAAAATAAGCCTTGCCTATCTAAATTTTAACAACAAACTTTGTACTCTATTCAAACTAATTCAAGTTTTATATGCACGCTCTTCACTGATGAAGTAGAGATGCCGTTAGGCTACATGAAATTATCTATGCCTGGGTAGACTGCCTTCATTACAATTATAATTATTATTTTTATTGTCTTTATTATTTTTATTATTAGATAATTGGTATACTGGACATACTCAAGCCGCCATCCATGGCAGAAATGAAAGATGTGTATCCTCCCCCATATACACACACAGAGTGACAGTCCTCTTTCTCTCTCTCTCCCACTTTCCCTCTTTTTCTTTAAGAGAGAGAGAGAAGAGGGTAGCCATTGACCATTGCATATGTTTACCATTGTTACAGTTACATTTCTCTTAACTCACTTCTTTCTCAGTTACATTGTCCAGACACTAATGGAGACTGATCTTTACAAACTGCTCAAGACACAGCACCTCAGCAATGATCACATTTGTTACTTCCTCTATCAGATTCTCCGTGGGTTGAAATACATACATTCTGCTAATGTACTACATCGTGATTTGAAGCCAAGCAATCTTCTTCTTAATACCACCTGTGATCTCAAGGTAATAGATTATGTCTACCAGAGGCTGGGGGGTATTGTTTAATCTTTTTGTCCTCTCTCTCTCTCTTTTCTAGATATGTGATTTTGGTCTGGCGAGAATAGCAGATCCTGAGCAAGATCATACCGGTATACTAACTGAGTATGTCGCCACCAGATGGTACAGGGCTCCTGAAATAATGTTGAATTCTAAAGGATACTCCAAAGCCAGTGAGCTTCCATTGTATTGTAATGAAAGAAGGAAGGACTTATTAAAATTGCATGACAGTGTTGCTGACAGTTTATTGATTGTAGCCAATTTAGCAATGGATGATTAGAAAGAACCAGATTATGTATGATTATAAATTAAATTACATCATTACTAATAGTGCTGACTGAAATTAAAGGCAAACAGCTTTGTAGACCCAAACTTGATTAGTTCAAATTATTATTTAAGTTTTCTCTAGTTGATATTTGGTCTGTTGGCTGTATCTTGGCCGAAATGTTGTCAAATCGCCCGATATTCCCTGGAAAGCACTACCTTGATCAACTTAATCACATCTTGAATGTGATTGGATCTCCAACAGAGAAGGACTTGAGTTGTATTAGGAATGAGAAAGTAAAGAAGAACAAGACCCTCTCTCTCTCTCTCACTTTTAAATTTTCTTATATTTATTTAATCTTACTGGTTACACTTTCTCCTCCTTCCTCTTCTCAGGCTAAAAGCTATCTTAAAAACTTACCATTCAAGCCCACTGTACCATGGTCTAGGCTATATCCCAAGGCCGATCCCAAAGGTATCTTAAAATAAAAATAAATTGATAATAATTTCATCTCCTTTTTTCTTTCTTCTTTGGCCAGCTCTTGATATATTAGGCAAAATGTTGACATTTAATCCAGACGAGCGCATATCGGTGGATGCTGCTTTGGCCCACCCATATTTAGAGCAGTACTATGACCCTGACGATGAAGTGAGTACTTAATGTACATAATGTACATAATATACACACGTACGTTAAGTGGTATTTATAATGAGGGGTCTTGAAATTTTAAAGGGGGGTTGGGGGATGGGGAAATTAGACCCCTTTGTTAAATGTGTGGGAATACACAGGATACTATACTGATCACACCTGTTGTGTGATGTGTCTAGAATTGTGATGACAGTCATCAGAGATGATTAAACTGTTTACTTTATAACTGTTGCTTCTATTATTATACATTTGACAACTTGCCAATTAGTTATCTCTCCTGCCAAATTTTTATTAAAAATAGTCAAGTATGTCTTTTTAGTAGGTAGTACATGGCACATATTCTAACTTGTTAGTTAATTCTTTGATTCTTTTATTGTCTAGCCTGTAGCTGAAGTTCCCTTTAAGTTTGAGATGGAGTTGGATGATTTGCCTAAGGACAGACTTAAACGTGAGGGAAAGCTTGTTTATTGTTGAGATTCATAGTTTGTTTTTTTTGTAGAATTAATTTACGAAGAGACAATGAACTTTCATGTAAGTTTATGACTGATTTATTAGCAGCTGCTTCATTTCCCTCCTTTTCTCCTTTAGCCTCATGCAGTTTAAATTATTTTTGTTTTCATCAGTGAAATCTCTCACACACTCTCTCTCTCTTTTGTTAAGTGTCTTTTCTCTGTCTGTACTTTTGAGTAGATGATGTGAACTAATGACATAATTATTAATATTATTTTTTTGACTCATAATAATTAATTATTATTTAATGTGTTTTTAGTCATTATTATTATTATTATTATTGTGATATTGATTCATTAAAAATCCTTTTCTGCATCCCTGGATTACACTTGAGCCATTCTTGAAGCATTTCTTCTCCACTCATTCTGCTCCACAATAAGGCGGTAGTATTATTATTAGAAGCAGCTGGTACTATTAAAATGGACGAATAAATTTGTTTTATTCCCTAAGCGGCTCACTAATGACAGTCTCGTAGTAGTATTTCCTTTGTCTTTGGTGGGATAGGCCGGAGAAATGTCTCTTTCTAGCCTTTGGTGTATCCTGGAATGATTTGCAGCAGTAGTCACAGTAGTATTTCTTTGGCATAATTTTAATGAGCAAAAGAGGCGTAGCTTAATGATGCAACCCGCCTATTCACCCGGTAAAATTAAAATAAAAAAAAATTATTATCTAATACTCTTGTTATAACTGTCACTAAAAATTAAATATTAAAATAATATAGACTGCTTTGGTGGAGAAAAACTAAGAATATTAGTATTAGTCATTTTTAGTCTTGCTGTTTTGCAAAACGAAGAAAAACCTAAAAGTATTCAAGCATAATAGAACGTCAATGGATTGTTGAATACAACAGCTGCTAACTTTTTCAAGTGTTGGTTGACTTATGCTGTAATCAATGATACCAATGTCTCTCTTTATTTGTTCAATCTTTTCAAAGAGTTCAGAGAGACACGCACCATCCTTGGGCACTTCGAAAGTCAGTGATCCCTAAAAAGTTAATAAAAAATAAGACATTTAATAAAAGCCGAACAGTATGATCATAATGGCAATTTCTTACTAGATATTTCTCTATTACAGTTGCCTTTGGGAACAAGTTTATGATGGCAGAGCTGGCCCTCTTTGTGGCCTTTTCAAGAGGACTATCCTCAATATTGCTTGAGTCTTCTGAGGCACGCCTTGAAACAAGTTTCTGTATCCTGTTAGTCACTCTAGTCAAGACGGTAACTCTACCCCAAGCATTTGCAGCTGTTGTTCTTGTGTTACTCTCTTGGCTGTTAAAAGTCTCCAATTCTTCAGTACCTTCTTCAGATCTACATGTACGTTTTTCAAAGCTGAAAGCTCGGCTTAGCTTCTTTGTGAAACGCTGTCTGATGGTTTTATTTTCCTTTGGCCTATCACTGGTTCTTCTTGCTGAGTCTACTTTTAACTGGAGGAGATAACCAGAAGTAAATCTAACAAACAAAAGTATAAAAACAAATTAATATTAAAGCTTGAGATGATTGTGCAGAGAAATTATGAAGAAATTTAATGTGATTGTGTTTGAGTTCCATTTTGTCTATGATCTTCAAAATCTCATTAGTCGTTTTATATTTGGTAATTTTAATCAATTTTCCGACCTACTACAAGTCAATTTATGACCTGTGTCAGACCAAACATCAATTTTACCATAAAAGGAGTCTCACACAGACATAACTAATTATCTGTTATAATCATTACTAACAAGAGTACATGGCTAGTATACACAGGCTGAGTGCAAATACCTGCTGAAACGAGCATAACTGTTATTGACTAATAATAGCTCAATATCATGGTGCATTAAGTTATTGAAATACAATTTTCAGTTAACAGTTTGAATAGTTTAAACCAGCTATTAAATGCAATACTTTCTCCTTATCTTATAGCTGTGTGTGTGCATTTGCATTAGCTAGCATACAGTATAGTACCTGCTCTTTAAATGTTGGACACTGCCTAGAGCTTTCAAAGATCCATTGACCATAATGGTCAGTCTGGTACACAGGGCTTCACACTCCTCCATACTACAGGGATATCAGTTAAAAATAATATGACAAGTCCACACTTTAATTATACATGCAGGGATCTTTTACAATACATTAAAGTGATGCATAAGGTCTTTCATTATTATTTTAAAAGTGATTTTTAAAGTGTTTAATTATTTGAGCCATAAGTACATTCTATTACATTAATCATACCTATGAGTGGTGAGAATCACTGTCCTTCCTTCTTTTATGATTCCAGTGATTGCATTCCACACAAATCGTCTTGTCACAGGATCCATTCCACTGGTGGGTTCATCGAGGAAGACAACCGGAGGCTGACCAACTAGAGCTATGGCTGTACTCAGCTTCCTCTTGTTACCACCACTGCATAATAAAACAATAATTACATTTAATTATCCTAATTTTTAGCATTTAATTTAGTAACTTAAAGCTAGTTAAATTTGCTACCAGTAGCTGTAATATCAATTGTTCTGTTTTCTTTTATTTTTTATTGTACAATGTACCATTCATACAGTCTTACCTGTAGGTCCCACATCTCTTGTCAGCATATTGTTTCAAGTTCATTCTCTCTATTTCTGCCTCAACTTCCTTTGGTATTAGCTTCTCTTTGATTCCTTTGAGTCGAGCAAACATCGTCAATAGTTCTCTACCAGTCATTAGCTCAATGAGCGAGTCAAACTGAGGGCAATAGCCCATGTGCTGCTGAGCAAGGTGGAGCTGTGACCTTCAAAAGAAGAAGGTGGAGTAGTGATGGCTTTAAATGCATTAATTACATGTAGATGGTATTTTTAAAAATGGCCGTAACTTGAAAAATTAAAGTCGGAATCAGCTCAAACTTTTTACACAGCATAAGGACATCAATATGTATCAAAAAATGTAATAAAAATTTGGGGTGATTTCGGAGCCATTTTTTGGAAAAAACCATGGGCTATAGTACAGGGTAATTTTCAGAATTTTGGCGTTTTCTTAAAATTGCCGTAACTTGATAAATTGAAGTCGGAATCACCTCAAACTTTCTACACAGCATAAGTACATCAATATGTATCAGAAAATGTAATAAAAATTGGGGGGGGGGGTGATTTCGGAGCCATTTTTTGGAAAAAACCATGGGCTATAGTACAGGGTATTTTTCAGAATTTTGGCATTTTCTTAAAATGGCTGTAACTCAAAAAATTAAAGTCGGAATCACCTCAAACTTTCTACACAGCATAAGGACATCAGTATGTATCAGAAAATGTAATAAAAATTTGGGGTGATTTCGGAGCCATTTTTTGGAAAAAACCATGGGCTATAGTACAGGGTATTTTTCAGAATTTTGGCATTTTCTTAAAATGGCTGTAACTCAAAAAATTAAAGTCGGAATCACCTCAAACTTTCTACACAGCATAAGGACATCAATATGTATCAGAAAATGTAATAAAAATTTGGGGTGATTTCGGAGCCATTTTTTGGAAAAAAGTACAGGGTATTTTTCAGAATTTTGGCATTTTCTTAAAATAGCCGTAACTTGAAAAATTAAAGTCGGAATCACCTCAAACTTTCTACACAGCATAAGGACATCAATATGTATCAGAAAATGTAATAAAAATTTGAGGTGATTATCACATTCCCTACCTCATGGCTTCTATAGTACAGTTTCTGGTTAATAGTCTTCACTTTGAAGAATCTCATACACAAAGACTTTAACTCTTGTACTGTCATTGTCTCAGGGAGCTTCCTCTTAATAGTTTTACTGCTAGCTACATCTAATATAGTCAGATCTATAATGTATAAATGATATATTTAATGATATTATTATTATTACTATTATTATTATTATTATTAGTTTACTTAATAATCTATCTTTTATTGTCGGAGCAAAGGGTGATTCTTTTGCAATCGATTCTTCTTCAGGTAAGCCATGAACTAAATGTATAATAAGAACAGCAACAATAACAATTAAATAATCACTTTTATATATTTTGTACTTTCACTTAGTCTTTTATATTGTTTGTGATTGGACAGGAAGCAGGCCTCTCCCCCACTTTTCTTTGCTTTTATCCATTCCGGGAAATATTTCTTAATATAAAACATTTCAGCATTCTCTCTTTCTTTTTTGTAAATCTGCTCAAAAAAACAAACAAACAAATAAATAAATAAATAAATAAATGGAGACTGACTTGACACCCGTTGATGTAAGTAATCTGAGGTACCCTTGCTATTACTAGTAGTCTTGCGTCAAGTTCAGATTCATCTAAAAATTAAGCCATTTTATAGGAAAAAAAAAAACAATAATTACTGCAGCATTGTACCTTTGAATATTGGGGACTTTATTAATCGTAACTTTCTTAAGTTCTCAATTGAAGCTACAGCATCAACTGAACACCACTAAATGAATAAATGGGCACATGACTTCTGACCAATCAAATTCTTACAGATTCAAATGGGTTATCATTTAAGACAAGTGAGATTAGGGAAAAGAAATCACCTAATAAATTAATTAATCAATTAATTAATTGATTATGAATTTAAATACAACCTTTATTAATTGGTTCTATATTAATTAATTGATTGGACCTCAGAAATAAAGCATTAAGCCTAAATTATGTAAAAATACAAAAAATTAATAATAACAATAATAATCATATACTTACTTTGGTAAATGCCTCAGTTTAATTACCTCCAACCAATTATTAATTTTATTATAGTCAAGACAAATTTCTTCAATTGATTCTGGAAATGCGTCTTTAGAATCTCCTCCGTTACCAAGGCAACAAATATTATTATTGGACGCAACCAACTGCTTCAAGTTAGCCATCATTTGCAAAATTAAACGTAACTAAACAATTAATAACAATCTATTGTTATTATTATTATTATTATTATTATTATTATTATTGTTATTATTATTATTATTAATTTATTACATCGTTCCATTCCAGTCCCATTTTATTAATGATAAGATGTGTCACATTTTTCAATGAATCTAGCAGCGATAATGGATCGGTGGGTGTGGTCATCCTATTTGAACTAAACAGAACAATAAAACCGTATTTAATTAACTAATTAAAATCAATTGCTATAGTGCTACCCACCTCAAATCGATTGTTGTTAAAAGGTGGAGCTGTGAACAAATCAGAGCCACTTCATTCCAGCTGGAGATCAACGTACTTGACAGATTCAAACATCTTATATCTAAAATAATCATAAGATAAAGACCTATTCATTCTCATTCTCTTTCATTCTCATTCTCTTTTATTCTCATTCTCATTCTCTATTATTCTCGTTCTCATTCTCTCTATTACTTGGGCAGGTGTTTAAGATGCCCTGGGGTACCCCTGAAGTGCTCAGTAGTGTCAAAGACAAATCAACATTTACAAGTTCTTTTAATTCACTAAAACAAACAAAAAATAAACAAACAGATAAACAACCTCATTCATTACCTCTGTGTTTCTTTTCCTGCAATTAGTAACACGTCTTTGGTAGAGACTCTCTCCAACACGTTCTCACCAGTCGAATCAATACTGTATGTGTATCTCTAATGGAATGAGAGAGGGAGGGAGGGATAAAGAGAAAAGACGTGAAATGAAGGTGAAGTGTCTGTCATGAACTACTTCTGTTATAACTTGCACAAAATCTAGACCGAGGGAGACTTTATCGGGTCTTACAAAAGACCCGCTGTTAGGGATCCTGTGGAGGAAGAGAATAAGAGCTGCATGGAATAACACAGTCTATCTCTTTTGAAAACTTTTACAGATTCTGTAGGTTATTAGTTCACCTGCATCTGAAGTATTCTATACCATCATGAGTGCCACTGTGCTTACCCCTTGAGGGATCATCCCATTCAACTCCTAACCACTCTCCTATTGGATGCTCAAGTGATTGCAATACATATAACTCAATGGACCTTTTGTTGGGGGGACTTGTCCAATAAATCTCACAGTTCCAAAATACCCGTCATTACTGAGGCATCTTTTTCCTACCTCTTGATCGGACGCCATCTTTAATGATTAATATTTCACAATAAAAACGAACAATTAGATCTAAAATTCTAAATACGGTGCAAATCTAATACTCACAATAAAAATAAAACATTATTGATATTTTTATTAATTTTTCTTTTCCTTAAGATTGTTTAGTGTCCATTCGACAGACACAAAAGCCATTGAGTCTTTACGAAAGATAAGGTTCCTTTTAATGAATCCCATACTTGAGACAGGGGCCAGCACGTGCATATGCAGATGAGGAATGGACGAGAATGGCGGCCAATGAAACCCCATCCTAGCATCATTCTGATCACAGCCAGGAACCCTCTCTTGCAAAACAATCTTTCCTATTTCTTCCAGTTTCTGTATCACAGGTACGTGTTCTGAGTCCAGGTGTTTTACACTGGGCAAATGAGTCTTTGGGATGACCTGGTAATGATGTTCAGCGTCTGGGCGTATGTCTCTAAAGCAGACATAGTCCTGGTCTTCGTAGAGTAGCTCTGTGTCCGTCTCTCCTCTCACTATCTTGCAAAATATGCAGCGACTTTCTTGATCACTGCTTTCAGCCATCCCCTGGATACTGTCGTGCACTCTTGCATACTCCCGTCTTGGACAAGTTCATTTCTCCTTATAGAGATTGGTGTTGTTTGCTCGCTTATCTCTCTTCTTTGCTTTATCTTCTCTTCCCTTGACTCCTTTTTTGTATTACCTTATCAAATTCCACTGGCCATCATCTTGGACTTGGCCGCCATTTTTGTGTGACCTCTGTTGCTATTGGCAACCAAACACAAGCTCCGTGCTACCTGCATCTAATCATTGTCCTCTCTCTCTCTCTCTCCCTCTCTCTCTTTTCTTTTGAGCTCTAGCCTTCGTTGCTTCTAGAGATATGTCTTATGGTACTTTAGAAGCTACTGGACTGGATTCAAACAGTTCATTAAGTTTCTTACAAGCTGAACATTCTCAAACACTGAAAGGCCTTCATTCTGAAATACACAAGTTACAACAGAAATGTGCCAGTAAGTTCCTTGCATGCTACAACGAGTCTTTGTTATTTCTTTACTAGGACTAACGTTTGAGCTGACAATGGCTGGTGGGAATGGAGCAACCAGCTCTAAACAAGGTCATTATTGACTACAGTGGCATCATGTCAGTATTGTATTCTCTGGTTTCTCTTAGGTAATCTATTGGAGGAAGAAATGTTGCAGAATCAAGAGCAAATAGCTCTTTTGAGATCACAGTTAACAATGCATAAGGAGAAGATGAATTTCCTTGAGCGAGAAGTCCAAACACTACGCAAGCAAACGTCAAACTTGTTAAAAGAGAAGGAAGACTTACTAAAGATGACACAATTCAAAATTGAAGAGAAGTCAACAACCATAGCCCAATTGGTATCAAAGCTCCACCAGGCACAGCTATTGATACACACCCTCCAGCAAGGACAGCACTCTGCGGTCTCCTCTCCTTCCACTGCAGGCAGTTTCCTGGACCCTCCACCTGGGAGTCCTATCAGAACTCCTCGCGGACACATAATGCGTAGAACTGTCAGAAGAACTGAAACTTTCCCTCAACAAATGGTAGCCGGGAACATGGAGAGTGAAAACCCTGTTAGCAGAAAACACTCGGCAACAAGTGGACAGCTTATATCACCTTCAACAGACTCACTGGTGAAGAGCAGCAGAGATGAAGTCATAAGAGGACATGTGAAGCAGCCTCAAATACTAGCAAGGTCTTTAAAAATGCGGCAAGCACAGAAGCCAGTCCTGCCACCAATACAATCAAATGAAATACTTGAAGCAACAGCTTCAATACCGCCACCTCCAAATCCTCCTCCAGCCCACAGGCAAAGATACTCACTTAACAAAGGCCTTAATAGTGCTCCTTGCTCCTTACGTCTTATGAATTACTCATCTCGTCATCATTCTGCATTTCAAGGAGAAGAGGGCAAAGGAGACAAGGTAGAGGAGGAAGAGGAGTCTGAAGCAACAGAGGGTACTCTATTAGTGAAGCATCAAGCAGAATCTTTGTACTATAAGCCTCAGGCACATAGAAAATGATCAGTAATAATAATAATAATGATAATAATAATAATGTTATTATTAGTAGTGTAAAAATAATAATAATGATGATAATGATGACAACTATCATTTATTTTTGGGTGTTTTGTTGATAATAATCGCAAGCACTTGGAGGCGGAGCAGGAGTAATGGAAGGAGAAGCAACCATCTCTTGACTGATATTGTAAAGATTGATGGTTGTTAGCTAGTGGTAAACTGTTAAGGAATGCATAATATCATAATACTGGAATGCAACAATAATAAACAACCTTTGGTATGCAGAGATAATCATCACAAGGTCTGTGTGTGCATCAGTAATGTAATACCTGAGGACTGAGATATCTGCTTGAGGTGAAGCTGAGGGCAGACATCAAGGGACTCAGGTATTACACTACTGATACTTACCTCCAGACACAATGGACTACATGTAAGTTTTCTAACATTTTTGTAGTACAAAAATAATTATTCAATAAGGATACTCCTTTTGAGCCATGAGTATGCAAAGGAGGAAGCTTGAAAAACGATGGAGGCTGGCTGACCCTACTCTCATTCGACCCAGGTGGATGGAAGTAATTCTTAGCACGAGGATTATAGACAAGATGGCGTGAAGTAGAAGAAGGCATGAACAATGCAGGAACACAGACATCTAAAGAGTGAAAAAGAGAGTGAAATGAGATCCAAAACATTAAAAAATTATAAAAATGAAGAATTCTCTCCTTTTAAAGGGACTTTGGCCTTATTTTTGAGCAACTTTAAAATTTGTGATAAATCTAAACTTGATCGGAATCAGTTCAAACTTTCTACACAACACAAGTACATCCATACCTTGTAATGGTGAGCTATTAACTAAAGGGGCTAGTCTATGTAGAGCTGCCAATTGTGCTTCACATGTTTCATGTACCTAACACCAATATATATAATAATAATAATGTATGCATTCAATCAGTAGCTACTCATTGTACTTCTTGTTTAATTCTTTCAGTCAGTTCTGCTTGTCTTCTTAGACTGTCATGAGCAAATAAAGCTAGCCTCTCATAAAACTAACATAAAAGACAATCTTAAAACTGCAATACTATATCTCACATCATCTGGCCAGTGCTTGCCCCAAACAGGCAATCCAGCTAGTCTCGGCTTTCTTCTCTTTTCCAGCAACTTCCTGTACAAGACAACAAAAATAATAATAGTACACAGTAACTTGATTGATCATTGCATGAATACTGTATTAACATCATAATAATATTAGTGTCATTCTAACACCTTACTTTATTTCCAAAGGTGATTTTGTTTTTTTGGTACGACTAGTCTCAGATTCAATCAAAGCTACAGTCAATGGTATATGCACTATAACATTAATGAACTCCTAACCTTCTTCTAACTCTTTTATTTGCTTCTCTTTCTCTGATTTCATTTTGCTTAGAGTGTGAGACAACTGCTCCAGTTTCTTTCTATACAATTATTATAATCTAATGCTCTCAGTGTAATGATAGTGTGAACCACTCACTCATACTGATCTTGTACTAGCTTCAATTCTTCAGCATGTTTCAATGACATCTGGGCCAGCTCTTCAGCTGGAACAGTCTCTTCATCCTATGAAATAATAACAAAAATAACAACAACAATAATAGCAACAATAATAATAATACACTGTTTTGCTTAATAATTAATACAATACTAAAATACAGACCAACATGCTAAAATACAGACCAACACTGTCCATTAAATGGAGGTGTATGCTTCATCAATACACATTACAATTATCACTTACCTCAACTTGTTGAGGTGTTTCTGAGCTTTGGGGTCTACTAGAGACAAGAGTCAATGCTGAGACTGCAGTTGACTGCATCTCTACATTCTTTTTATAACCCATCTCCTCTACTAGCCTGGAAAAGAGGGACATCAAAATAATACAGACTACCCATTATAATTTGATAAGTTACATTTCTATTGACTGTGTCTCAGTTGATACATGAAATCTCTTGTGTCTTTAATAAAAAATAAATAAATAATAATAAAGAATTGTTCATAGGCTCACTTTAGAACACGTATCCATTGAAATGATAAAGGAATCTGTGGGGGATCAGGTGATTCATCAGCTTCTTCATCAACATGTACTGGAGTGAGTATATAGTTAACAGGAATGGCAGAACTAGTGGCATGGAGACTCCAGTCAACTGAACAATCAGAGTCATTGGTATCGTTTGATGGAACTATGATTTTATAATCATTCTAAATAAAGCGAGAATAACAATAATAATAGTAAATTTCTAAAAATAGTATTTTATTCTAAGAATAGAAACAATAACAATCAATGCATTATTATTATTATTATTATTTTTATTTTTATACCTCTAGTTTAATTTCAGGTAGTTGTATGAAGCAGCTTGCAAACATTTCATCAGCTAAACTCCTTGGAAAAACTGCAATACTTATCCTTGGAGACAGCATCATTCCAGTGCTGTCCTCCAAATTATCATCAGGGTTATGGAGAGATGGAAGGAAAGAGATGGCGTTCTTTGAGAGAGTAAAATGGAAACATTGATAGCTATAGAAAAGGAAAGAAGTTAAACAATATGACTAATACTCATTATGGCTCACTCTTCAGTGTTTGGTTGGTAAATCTTTGAAGCAAAGAATTCACTTTCTAGTGTTATGCTGCAACAAATGTCACTCTCTATAAAATGAACTGAAACAGTCTATGGAATCAATTAGATACTCACCTTCAAGCAGTTCTATAGGCCTGTACATGAAGACTAGCAAATGACTAGAAATGGAATATAAAGCATAACTCAATGGCTAATAGAGTACTGCAACTTTAGCAAATATTTTAAATTATTAATAGTGGTAATGTGCTAGAATTTATGGAGTATAAAGGCTAGCAAACTTCTATTGCATCAAAGATGCTAAAAGCATGCACATGATGGCAGTTTAAACACTCAAATAAAAGTGGAGCAATCATTACTGGTCATATTCAGGCTCATCTGTCCAAGCAACTGCATCACTTGTAATGACTAGGGGTCCTTCAGGGGATAAACTCTGCTCTATTGATACAGGAGTCTCTTCTAATCCAGAGAACGGATTCCCCTAAATATAATAATAGTTATTATTAAAAGCATACAATAAAGCTTACTTTAAGGACACTCCCGGTGTGTTGTGAAGCTAAAGCTTGAGACCTATACATGATAGTATTATATGGAAGATAGTGGATTCATTTCTTTTACTTACAGTTCACTTGCTAGCTCCTTCAGCTCACCCTCACTCTCGGACAAGACCTTAGATAAAATAAATAAATGAATAAATAAATAAATAAATGATAATGCTATGTACAGGTCTGTGTGAGTATGGATCTTCTTCATCAAAGGAGTCCGATTCATCACTGTCAGAACCATAAGGATTATAACTACCACAATAATAATAATAATAATAATAATAATAATAATAATAATAATAATAATAGTAATAATAATAATAATAATAATAATAATGGTAAATAATTTAGTAGTGGAAGCCACTTTCAGTACTTACCCATTGGCAATTTTCTTTTTGAAAGGTTCAATTCTGAACTTCCATCTCCTCCCAGTAGATTTTGATGACTATAAGAAATTAATCAAATAAAATAATTGGATAGCAAAACTTTTAGCTGAAACCATTAGTTCCATTGTCACAAAAAACCCATTAGTTCTATTGTCACAAAATTTGTGACAGGAAAAACCCCATTAGTTCCATTGTCTCAAATTTTGGTGTTTTCTTAAAATGGTTGTAATTTGAAAAATTGAAGTCAGAATCACCTCAAACTTTCTACATAGCATAAGGACATCAATATGTACCAAAAAATGTAATAAAAATTGGGGGTGATTTTGGAGCCATTTTTTGGAAAAAACCATGGACTATAGCCTTGGGTATTTTTCAGAATCTAGGCATTTTCTAAAAAGGGCTGTAACTTGAAAAATTAAAGTCGAAATCACCTCAAACTTTCTACACAGCATAAGGACATCAATATGTATTAGAAAATGTAATAAAAATTTGGGATGATTTCGGAGCCATTTTTTGGAAAAAAACCATGGACTATAGCCTTGGGTATTTTTCAGATTTTTGACGTTTTCTTAAAATGGCCATAACTCGAAAAATTAAAGTCGAAATCACCTCAAACTTTCTACACAGCATAAGGGCATCAATATGTATCAGAAAATGTAATAAAAATTTGGGGTGATTTCGGAGCCATTTTTTGGAAAAAAACCATGGACTATAGCCTTGGGTATTTTTCAGATTTTTGACGTTTTCTTAAAATGGCCATAACTTGAAAAATTGAAGTTGGAATCACCTCAAACTTTCTACACAGCATAAGGACATCAATATGTACCAAAAAATGTAATAAAAATTGGGGGTGATTTTGGAGCCATTTTTTGGAAAAAAAATCATGGAAATGTATTTAATATTTACCATAACTTTAGTATAGACTTTCATCCAGTTATTCAATCTTTTCTCATGCTCTATCTTGTCAGCCTTTATAATAGCAGAAAGTATTTAACACATAATGCTATCAATGCCATTCCCACCTTAACAGCTAACAGTTCTAATTTCCTCAAAGCTACAGAGAGCTGTCTATCCTTATTCTCATATTCTGTCCTCAATTTCTTTAAAGCATCACTCTTCTCTTCCCACGGGTGAGCATACTGATGAACCAAACGAATGAGCTCACTTGACAGTGCATCTAAATCAGAAGAACTGTGCAGGGAAATATATATATTTTAAAGCAATAATAATAATAGTAATAGAGGTAGTTTTGCATTGTTGCTTCTTTAGCAATTGAATGATAAAGAGAATGTGCATAATGCAGAAAATGGATGAAAAATAAGTTAAACTGAAGAGTAGAACTACTACTGTATTAGCTACCATACACTCACCTCCTGTGTATTTGTGACGAGAGTACAGTTAGTTTTAGGAGAAGGTTTGATGGCAGTGAATGCTAATAATTGAACAATACAAGATTATCTTATTTTTTTTAATTCATTTTTTTTACCTTGAGTAGTTCATTCTTGAATTCATAAAGCTAGGAGCAGTAACTGATTCATTACATCAATAATGAGAATGCTAACCTCATTTAGAGTGTTGGTATGAGATACTAAAGAGCTGCTGACGTTATCACAGAGCTGTGTAAACTTGTTTGGGTTTGAATCATTTCTTTTCACACCTCCAGACTAGAGCATAATAGAAATAACAGAGCTCATGATGTAAGTTTACACAATTATTATAAACGTACTAAATCTAACTTAAAGTCAAGGCTTTTCCTTTCAGCAGCAGCAGCAGTCATGATGAAAAAGAAAGAAAAATATCAAAATTATCTATTTTTCTGAGCTGCAAAAAAACGAGATCCGCCCACAATCAAACCACACCCTTCTGTAATAAAGACTAAGGGAGAGATAAATCTGAAATATGATACGAATAGAACATTCTCTATAAATTTCCTTTACCAGAGATGCATCCCAGAAACATCTTCAACAAGAGAAAACCTGATTTTGCTGAATATGCAAAGACCCATCCTGCCTTAGAGCCCCATCTGATCAAGAAAGCTACCAGTAAAGGAGAGGGGTTCCAGTACACAATAGATTTCAGTAGTACCCAGTCCCTCCATGAGCTGGCAGCAGCTACACTACAGCACGAGTTTGGATTGAGTGTGGACTTACCTTCCGGACACTTGGTACCATCGATACCGCAAAGACTTAATTATATTCATTGGGTAGAGGATCTTGTAGGGAAAGAGAGTGACGTAATCGGAATAGACATTGGTAAAGTCATTGTACATGAATACGTAGATGAGCAAAAAAAGAAGACAGAAAAGCAAATTAATTTTCACGTTTGCAAACTAAAAAAATTAAAAAACGATTTGCAAAATAATATCTTTCAAATTGTCACGCTATATTTTTATCATTATTTTCTTCAATAGGTTGCGGTCCATTGTGCATATTCCCTTTGCTAAGTTGTACTATTAACAACAATTGGAAGTTCATTGCAACAGAAGTGCAACCAGACTGCACTACATATGCACTAGAAAATATCAAAAGAAATAACCTGAAACCAAAAATCACAGGTAACAATATTCATTACATTTATTAATAATTATTAAGTTCTATCAGTGATTCAAGTTGCTCCTGACGTATTTTTAAAAGGTGTGGTAGATACTGCATCGTATGACCACACCCAGTTTACATTCTGCATGTGTAATCCGCCGTTTTACAAAGACGGAGATGAATTGAAGGGTGGGGCTTCAAGAACTGGTCACAGACCAGTACCAAAAACGTTGAATACTGGGAATGAGATTGAGACGATGACAAGCGGAGGAGAGGTGGAGTTTGTGAGGAATATTGTGAAGGAAAGCATGTCAATTGGAACTAGGATAAAGTAAGAGAGAGAGAGAGAGTAGAAAAAATAACCACTTATTATTTTAGGTGGTATACAAGCATGTTAGGAAAGAAGGACAGTCTGGCAAAAATAAAAAACTTTTTAAAAGAGCTGAAGGTATGATGATACAACCACGCACAAAAAGCCAAATATCACCAATCTTGATCAATAATCTTTTGCCTCTGAGAAGTATAAACATTACAGTACTTTGTTATTTCTAAGTAATCCACGTTACAGGTTCCTGTGATACTTGATACTACATTTGTACAAGGTAGAACTCATCGTTGGGGTGTGGCCTGGTCATACGATCATTCCTTAATGCCAAGTCAGGAGCAACTACCCCAAAAAAGAAAATTAATTGAAAAAAGGAAGTCAGACCCTTTTATTGTAAATTTACCGAAATCCTACTGTCAAGAGAGTGATGGATACCAGAGAGCAGTGAAGTGGATGGAAGATACCTTACATAAATTAAAAGTATTGTTCTGTATTTTGCCTCGTTCTTTATGTCTCTCTCTCTTAGATAGAACATGTTGACATTGGTGATGATGATGATGAGAAAACATGGCACTGTACTGCTAGTGTGAACACTTGGTCAAAGCAAAGAAAGAGAAAGAGATTAATGACAAGAATCAAAGATAACCCTGGTATAATACCTTGTATTATAGCTACTCTCTTTACTTTGATTCTTTTTAGAACAATCAAAAGAATTACTAGCTGAATTGGAATCATTAAATACGCCATGCAGCATTGAATTTAAGCTATCAGTAGTGACTGATGATTATCATTATGACTGCAAAAGAATGAAGGAACAAGAAAGGAGAGAAGAAGCAGCAAGTGACAATAATGATAATCAGATATTATATGTATTCGAATTGGTTAATGGTCATAGAGATGAGCTACATCAAATTGTTCAGTTAACAGGAAACTGGTTATCTTAAATTAATAATAATAGCAATGATATTTACAGTACGTATGTGTGATTTAAAAATGAAAATTAAATGATTATAATAATAATAATAAAATAATAGTTATTCTGTATATGTGCTGTGATGAATTGGTAATGCATTTGAAATACTGCTAATGATATCAGTGGCTTTGATGCAGTCCTGCTCCCATAGCTTCTGTACAGAGTTAAGCACAACTGTATTTCCCATGAGAATACTTTGGGCGATTGCCCTTGTCTCTTTGCAGCTGCAGCCTTTAGACTCCAGGCCCTCCTTGTGTGAGCTGATCTTTTTCGAATAAGACACAAGCAATGATTGTATGTATTGCGATTGCTTTGTGATGGATTGTGAAGCCTCAAGGAGACCATTAACACAATCAATGATATGTTTCAAGCCAGGAGAGAGAGTGCAGCTTGCTGGATCTACATGTATCGACTTGGTATACAAATCCTCGCTTAAAAGTAACTGATCACTTGAGCTCATCAAATGAGTAGCAATGCAGTCTGCTATGCTGCTGGATTGAGATGAAGTTAAGAGCTTATTCAGTGAAGATTCAAAGGAGGAGCTGAGCCCACCAATCGTTAGTAGGAGAGAGTTGACTTCTTCGATGAATCCATTGTCAAACTCAGATTGTCCGGTTGGTAGAATGCTCAGCACTAAATCTCCTTTATCGGTTGTCCTTGATTCAAAATTACAGCTGCCACTGTCTTGTTTCATCAGTTGATGCAAGAGCTTTGACTTCTCTGAATATAAATGCAATATTTTCTTTTCTATGTCTTTAAACTGTTCTGTGAGACGGTGGCTATGAACCTTGACTGTCACGGGGCTCTTACTATGAATAATAGAAGAGCTGCTGTTCAATGGAGGAAGCAGAGGCTGTGTTTGTTGGTTGTTGCAAGCCATTAGGGACGAAATAGGGACAGCTCCATCAGGAAATACAGGAGAAGCTGTCCTCCGGTATGGCTTACTACTGCTGCCTGCGTGGACTCTCTTCACTCGGGCGGCTTTGCCCCCACTTGTTCTTTTCTCTCCGGAGCCTGCAGCTTGGGGAGATCTCGGCTTGAGGGATGATTGCAAGGAGAAAGAGCAGGAGCTGTCGCCGCCTTGAAAGATATCTTGAATGTCACCTAATTCGGTGGAAGAGGAGGCTGGGGAAGAGACAGGGAATATCTGAGGACTCCCAACAGGCTGTGGATAGCAGGAAGATAAGGCTCTCTGCTGCTGCTCATAGAGGCCATCACTGCTGCAGGGAAAAGGATAGCTCAACCCAGCATTGCCAGACCAGCAATAGCTGATCCCTTGATCACTAAAAGGAAACGTTGAAGGAGAGAGGGTCACAGCAGACTCCATTGAGGAAAGAAAACGTTGCAGAAAAGAGAAGGAAAGTATTTCTAGCCTTTGCTGCTATGCCCAAGCAAATTTATAAGCAAGGAGTGCGTGGGTGGTAGCTCAGCCGAGCTATGAATATCATTAACGAGCTATGAATATCGTTATCAGTTTCACTGGGCAACCGTGAAAAGGGAAGGAACCTTTCTCTCCTCTCAAATGAAAGGTGTTCAATACGCGCGAAAAAGCTCCATAGAGAGGGGGAGATGCCCACAACATTATCAACAGGAATTCTTCCACACATCAAAACATCTAATGATCCTCTCACACTCTATTTCTGTTGAGATGATAAACAATAATTACTTAAAAATCACTGTAAACAATATTATAATTGGACACGTAGATGTAATCGCGCATGTTTGTGTCACTCTATGACTGGTAATGCTCAATAATCTCCTTCCCCTTCCTCCTCCTCTTCCTCACCAAAATCAAGGACTGGGAAAGCAGAGACATCACCACCTAGCTATAAACAAACAGATCATTAGAGGGGAAGGAGAGAGAGAGGGGGAAAGGAGAAAAACATTTATATAAAGTAAAGACAAGAGAAAGGATTAATCTTAAATTATATATACCCGGTATATGACTCACATCTCTTGAAGCAGCTGGTGTTCCTTCGCCAACTTGACCAAACAATATGTCAGATAAATTCTCTTTTGCTTCAGCAGGTTCATTCTCGTCCCCTCCCCCTCTCTCTCCTTCTCTCTCAAATTCCATCAAAGTATCACCAGAAGACATCTTCTCTTGCAGTGAGAGAAGACTAGATACAGCATCATTGAAATCTGGATCCATTCTAAGGAGAAGGAGAGAGAGAGAGATAGGGGGAGGGTGAGAGAGTGGTAGGGGAGTGTTAATTAAGAGGTATAATGGATGGAGAGGAGAGAGAGTGACAGAGAGAAGGAACAAAGATAAATAAAGACAGAGGGAAATAAAGAATGGCCAAGGAGAGACAAAATAAAACCCAGCTGCTAATACAAGGCTTGGGCTCTGTGGTTTTCTGTATATCATTACAATAAATGGACCTGATTCCCAAATTGTCACAAAGTGACAGAAATTGGTAAAGACAAAAATAAGAGTCTGCCAGTATATAATAAGTACATGTACCCCACTAATAGAAAGGAGAGGTGAAGGTGACATATATATATGTACATACATGTATATACGTGGTAACGTGTTGATGTTAGTTGGTGACATTTGATATCTTCATACTGAAAGTACGTTTAGTGCATCAATAACAACAATAATAAGCTCTGATTCTCTAAGTTACGTTTTTTTTAACGAAATGTAGAGAAGCAATCGCCTTTTATTGCATCAAATATTTCACACCTCTCTACCAGCACCGCCCATTTCTCAAACTCCACCCATTTCTCCGGCAATAAGAGTGAATTGCTAACCTTACGGATATCTCATAATTCTCCAATGCCTCCACAAAGTGTTTCAATAATTCGTAGCATTTTGCGAGTTCGTAATACAAAGGAGCTGATTGATGTACCTTCAAAATATCTTTCAACCTACAGGACGTCAACAAAAACAACAAATAAACAAAAAACAAATGTAAACAAACAAAAATTCCCTTACACAAAGAGGTGATTGTCTCACAAATTACAAGATAAAATAATGATGGTATTGTTTGTTAATAAATATAAACGTTAAAAAATAATCCCAAAAAATTATAAAAATAATGACTCGCTTACATTTCAATGGCTTTAGGTACAGTTTGGGTTGATTGAGTGAGAGAGTGACAGAGAGCTATGGTGGCTCTGTCAAAAGTCTTATCAAGTTTCACAGCATTCTCAAGACACTTAATGGCCTGGAAAAGAGAATTAAACAAATTCAAACAACACAAACCTTAGCCTCAGTCCCTGGTTTACTAGCTAACACAATGGCTTCAAGCTACAAGAATCAACAAAATAACAACAATTGATTAATAATCCTAGTCACTTTCACTTACATAGAGCTGCTGTGAAGGGATCTTAATGCTCTTAACGGCTGAGGACATTGTACTGAAGGCTGCTCTGTAACCTCTGCATATCAGGTAGCATCTCAACAAACCTTCAAAAACAACAAACATGATAACAATGATCAAGTAGGCAGAACAAAAGAGACATTATCTTGAATCAATCAACACCCACTAGTGGCTGGTTTATTATTATTAGTGACACGAATGAGCGATTTCGTATGTTTTTTAAATTCACTAAAATTAGTAAACATGCCATGAAAAGAGCAGGTGTTACTATACACAGTATATGATCATAACTAACAGCTGCTGTTCAGTGTGACGCTTACTTTCATATGCTTCAAAGAAAGATGGATCAATCCTAATAGCCTCTTGATAACTAACAATGGCTTCTTCATACTTCTGTCTTGATAGACTTATTGTGCCTGGAAAGAGAGAGAGAGAGAGAGAGGGGGGGGGGGAGAGCTCAAATCATTAATTTTGTTGAAGTACCTAATAAATATGATTTCTCAGATTTCCCGGCCTCTAAAGAGCTCATGATGTTATTGATCTAAAAAATGGGTCTAATAAATTTTCATTCCCATACTCAGAATCTCATGCATGCATGTCTCATTCTCAAACTTTCAAACCTCATTCTGTGCATGCACTAACATTCATAACACTATCTATATCTCATACCTTTTGTATCAGTATTTGGACGTGGGTCGCATTTGATCTCTTTTGTGTCCTGAGGAGTGACCATATCTTCACGACCAGTGGCTGAGGGTGGAGTGATGACACAGCCAATAACTGATCCGCTAGCCTGAAGAGAGAGAGAGAGAGAGGGGAGGAGGAGGGGAGAGTGAGAGGAACAGTCTATTAAATTCATCTACTTTGAGTTGGTTGGATTTGATGATTTCGATGACAATAATCTCCCAAAAGTGTCCATGTAGTTGATAACATAAGGATCCTGGACACAGGCCTATCATGACATTAATTATTAATAAATGAATAATGAGGTTTATTTCTGGTTGACTTTTTTAAATAACTCAATGGCTTGGGATTTCTTTAATAATTTTGACATGATCCAACCAATCTGACTGTTATTTTCTGGACTAAGAGTGAAACCCTACAAGAAATGAGGAGATTAAATAAATAATAATAATAATAATGTATTAAAATATGGAAGGATATACTTCTGACAGAAAACCACATGAAATAGACTTTCAGAATAACAGGTAATTTTAGAAGGGGAACATTCTGGGCCATTTGCCAAAAATATAACCTATCAACACTGTGCACATGCTCAAAACCACAGCCTAACAAATCAAACTTTCTATTATTAATCAAAAAAATTTGGCAAAAAAAAAATTATACAAAAATCTCTGAATTAACAAGTACAAGATACATGTACAATCATCAAATTGTGAATATGAATAGCTATTATAGGAGACTTGATACCGTTTAGTCTACACTGATAATACTCCACATTGGGCTACACCACTATACACATGTATGTACATGTATGCAAACACCACACATTAACTTTCAATTCAAAATGATAAATATGAGGAATATAAGAAAGACTCCAAAATATCATCATTCCAGGAATAATAATGCTAGTTTATTACAACGCCTCCGAAGTTATTAAGTGGTTGGGTGGGAGAGAGAGCAGCTGCCATTAGGATGTAAGATGTAACAGGTAAACAATGGCACTCTTCTTTTATCAAACAATACACAAACCAAACACAAAAGACATTTGGAAACACTGCCGTGAGAGCCTCCATACGTTAGGAGTCTTTCTAAAAAGTGCTCACCGATTTGTTGAGTGTCTCAAAATCTCTCAGGGCATCTGTGAAAGTACAAAGACAAGATAATTAAATATTAAGGATAATTAAATATTAAGTATAATTACTGTATATATTATGGGATTCTTTAATGAGGTGCGAGAAATATAATCATTAATTATTTAATTAATTGTGTGTGCTAGCTTTCCATTTCCAATGAATTCAAGTTGTAAGATTGAAAATGAAGCAAAAAAATCCCCTCACAAATCAATGAATGTCATTAAGAGAAGAGGGTAATGAATATCTTTAAGGTTGAGCCCTCAATGAATATCATTAAAGTCACCCCACCCCACCCCCCACTGGAGTGTGGTTCAGTAGAATAGAAAGGGGGATTGGAGTGGTTGAGCAATGCACTTACTTGAAAATGATCAAATACTTCACAGTAACCAGAATATAATATTAATAATAATGAATAAATGTTAATAATTAATAATAATTGGTGGGGAGTAACTAGTAGCTTGTTAAAAATAGAAAAAAATAAATAAGACCATTAGCTCCTAGTTAATATATGCTCCTTAATAACTATGGTTATTAATAACTAGTACTTAATAACTAGCCCCTCCCCCAAACCATTACCTGCATATTGATATAATGATATATTCTCTTGAGCTTTAAGCCAAACACTTAGCCTATAAATAAAATCAAATCTACATGCAAGAGTATTAATATTACTATTAGTATTACAGGTATATGTAATGCTAATAGTATTGTGTATTAGGTACAGATTTCCAAGAAGAAGAATCACTTCCCTTCTAAAAGAAACTCTCTCTTTCTCTCTTTTTCTTTCTGTCTCAATTTCAATATCACAATCACATTGAAAGCATATTAATTATCAGGAGGACTGTCACCCACCCACCCTCCCTCTCTCTCTCTCCCTCCCTCTCTCTCTCTCCCTCCCCCTCTCGCTCTCCCTCTCTTTCTCTCCTTCCCTCTCTCGCTCTCTCCTTCTCTCTCCCTCCTCCTCTCTCCTCTTTTACCAGTTATAAGAAGAAAGAGATGGTGAATGTTGTCTAAATATGGCCACCAGCTGAGCTAGTGACACTCCTAGAGAAAGCAATGCTGTTACAGCTTCCAAAGCAAATGGACATTTCCTAAGAGACAGTGAGAATGTATAGAGCTACTACAATCAGAGCTTACATTAAAACCATCCGGTAATACATGACAGCATTGTTACTGGAGGAAGAGAGAGAAGGATTGTTACTATTATTAGAAGAAGAATTACAACGAACTTGTCCTTTTTGAAATTTTGATACAACTTTGCTAAAGCTAATTCAATTTGTATAGTTCTCTGCTTCACTGGAACAGATAATAACTAATAAATAAATAAATAAAAAATAAATTAATACTAGATGTACTTACAGCATGGATAGCATCATCGTATTGCCTTAATTTTAAATAACATTTATAAATACTCCATTGTATTCTACCTTCACTCACGTTCTAATCAAAGAAATGAAAATAAAATTATTTCAAATACAAACCTTAATGTCTGAATCTGATTGGCTGCCTGCTTCAGCAGTGAGAGCCTGACGATAATAGTGCTAAAGGAAAAGATAATATCCACCCACGTACTTTAAATTAATGACCACACCCACCAATAATATCTTACCAAGGCCCTATTGTATTGCTCGTCATTGTAGAGGGAGTCTCCATAAGACGCTAATAAAAATCTATTTTTAATAGAGCAGTTAAAAACCAACATGTCAGCCTAAAAACGTGAGGAAAGAAGATAAATTATACAAAATGGATATTTCAATTTACCAGTAGCTGGGCGCTTTTGTCAAGACCTAGCTGATTGAGAGAATGGAGCTGATCCATCAAGAGAGAAAAATCGACCGCCTCCATTTTTACTCACTTAGCACAGCACGTGGTTACAGTATACTTCCGGGAATCTTGTCCGGCAGGTCCGCATTCTCTGGCCTAGGGTCACACCCATGTATGAAGATTGCGCAATCCAGTACGTGTTACCAAGCAACGAAATACGTCAGGCGGGATCAGAACAGAAGATGAGGAAGAAGCACGAGGCAGTCATTGCCTCTCTTACTCTCTCTTTTTCTTCAGGTTTTATCATTCTCTATTGAGAATCCCCTCTCTCTTTTTCTTTTACTAGGTTTGCTGGAAAGAGACAGGCAGGTTACTGTGTCCTGTATGTACAAGCTTGTAGCATTCTTTGTGTAAGGAGGAGCCATGACTTGTTACTGTCTGGAGTACAGGATAATTAATGAGATAAGTTAATACACACACACACACAGTGTTCCTGTATATGAGTGTGTGATGAATAATGGAGGGAATAGTTTATCTAAGTGTCAGTTGGTAAAGACAATGAGCAAAGCAAGAGTGAGAAATACATGTAATGGGGAAAAATGAGTGGTTTTGCTCTCTGCCTTTCCACTGGCATTTTGGTAACATTCTTACTTTATTCTTTCACACATTCACATGTTATTTATTATTATTATTATTATTATTATTATTATTATTATTATTATTATTATTATTATTATGGGGTTATTATTTCATTATTAGTACTATTAGTATCTTATTGTTAATACATGGCGGTTAAATTCATATCTTTTGTATATTTTCAGGTTGCTCCTATCAATGGATCAAAGACAGTTTTCTGTTAGTTAATACACACACTTCATGTACATGTACATCCTTATATCGAACAGGTATTCTATTTTCCTTTCTTTAAGCTAGATAGAATCAAGCAAGCTAGTCTCCTTCAAGATCAAATCCAAGTCTTCAGTGTATGGTAACAATGTATCTATTGCATGCTATTACCTTGATTACAGTGCTAATAATAAATGGTTCATTCCGCTATTCACCCCATTACATGTAATAAAGCACTGTCCCTATTGATCTTTACTTATTCTATTGTTTAAATATTTTTTCTGTTTTATTTCTGCACAGGACGATGTTCTCTGGAGGGGCTCAGGATCAAGCCTAAAGTTGGTTGAGTGTGAGGTAGAGTGAGAGTTAATAATGTATAATTATG